CTATAAGTGCAAAAGTGAAAACTGCTTTCGTTTCAAAAGACATCATAGAGCCCAAGCTTTATGAAATGAAATGCTAGCGAGTTGATGTGCCGCAAATGGTTTATTTTGCTGGGTTTTGCGATGCAAAGTAAAAAGATTGCATATTTCCTACCTTTATTTATGTTGACAATTAGGTGGAAGCTATTCATGATAATCTATGATCATGTTACATAAAGAACAATTCTTGATTTTGATGTTCTATATGTTAAAGTGCGATTGAAAAATTTGTATATGATTGAAAAGAAAGCTTGCATTTGTAAAAAAAGAAAATGGCCACCATGGCAGATGTGCCCGCTTGTGATGTTTGCTGTGCTTAAGACACTGTTGGCACATACCCCCACACGGGGTGTGCAAAGTTCCTCAGTCATGGCCAGTTACCTCTTTCCTGGATTGTAATCACACAGAAGTTGGGAGAGTTAATTGACATGAATTGCTTGTTATATATACCGTGCACACAATAGCAGACATGGGCATAAGGCAAAAGAACGAATGCTTGTTTGAAGAAAGGTGAAGGATGCAGCCCACATAGACAAAAGAAAGGAAGTAGACAGGATGGAGCATAAACCTGCAACTGACTTCATCTGAGAAAAAAAAAAAAAAACAGCTCCTTTTTGCAATAAGCACATGTAGACGTCGGTTGGGTCTTTTTAAAGGGCCTCTCACCAGACCTCATAACCAATTCTATTTAGATGCTGGCAGTTGTTGTTCGTTCGAAGAAGAACATTATGCCTCCAGAATTTTTTCAATCGGTTCATTATGAGCTGAGAAAACCATTGATTTAAAGCAGCGCGAAGTCATGATGAGAGGAGGCGAGCTCAAAACCCTTGCTGCTCGCCCCACGTGGTCTTTCCAAGCAAAATCTCTTCCCAACCCTCTCCGGCATCCAAGCAAACAGTCACATATGCATGACGTCCCCAAGCAAGCCCAACCCCCAAGTACGTGAGAGGCGTTTTGTTGACCAGCGTTATTTTGAGGTCTAGTGTGTTGTTGCGGGATGATTGCCTCTGTCTACGCTCGTTTCGAAATGCTGGCTTAAATGCGGCAGAATAGGTGAGCATACTCAGTGCTCAAATGCGCAGGGGCATCAATTTAATTTCCAGGGCTGGCATCTGCTCGATGTGCTAACCGCGGGGACATGAACGCATGCGAAACGCAGGCGCATTAGTCCCGCATCTCTTTAACATTCTCGGGAAAAGGTGAAAAAGACTCGCACACTCTCTTTTCGAGTCTCATTATTTATCTCAAGTTTTATTCATCTATTTAAGTGACAAATTACACAAAATACACATGTGTGAAATAATTTTCGCTGGGTCATGTGCCATTGTTGGCGGCGTTAAAGAACAGTCTACGTAAAGGACTGATGTCAGAGCACTACCGTCTACGTAGGGCAATTTATACGTCTACGTTATGCCCTCATTCTCTCAGTGCCCACCCGCGAAAGGAAGGGCAATTGGTGTTTATCTTGAAATTTAACCCATTTCTGTGGCGCGTAGCATTGCAAGTTTTGGCAGACGTGATCGTGAACGCCCCATGTATGCATTGCGCTTGTCAGCTCAAAATTGTCAAGCCTTGTGAGGGGCCCTTTAAGAATGAACCATTTAGCCAAACAACACATTCCAGTAAATGCTTGTTTGTTTTCTTTGCCTTCATTCATCATTTGTTTTGTGTAGCGCTGCAATAACGTAATAGATTTTCACCTACTATGGAACATTTTGAAACAAGCAAAAAAATATAACATTTAGAGAAGAGAAATAAGAAAATGTTAGCCTGGAGAGTGTCTTTAGCCTGCTACTCTTCGTCAGGGTGAGGGAAAAAAGGGAAAGAGGTAGAGAAAATTATGATGACAGGTGACAATGATATAGTAAAACGTAGTTACTGCATACACATTGTCCTGTGCACGAATGTGCACCACAATGAAGCCTCTTCACATGACAGCACATGCTCTACAGACTAACATCGAAACCTGTCTCGATAGAATCGATAGTTTGACGATGGTTGGTCTAGTTGAAAAGAACATTCAGATTCAGAAACTGCAAAGCACTGGTTACTAGTAAAAGTGAAATGTGCTGCCCCTGTGTTTATCACCAAGTTATTCCTGATAATTCGTTCCCAATTATTGGTTCAGCCTGTTCAGAAATACTAATGGGCATTCACTGCCCATGTGTTCCTTACTCCATTTTCAGTAGGCCAGTGGTGACCAATGGGACTATCCCAATTTCAGTGGCACATGTTCTTGCAACAATACTTATTGTTGGCCTAGTTGGTACTTGCTTACTGACATGATTTGGCCGCAAATAATACACACACAAAGTAAAGAAACACTCGATGACAAGCACAAGCGGCACTTCCGACAAAAGTAGACTGAGCGAAAATCCAGGCTTAAGTAACAACATACAGACATGCGCAGTCTTCACACAGCCTTACGCTATCTAGCTATCGAACAATCTCTCTTCCGATAAGTACAATGTCACCGACGGTTCGCTAATACCATTTTCACCTTTCTTTTTAATGTAATATGCTTCCATCAACTCACGCACAGTTTTATGCCTACTGCTACCTAGAATCTTAACCTCATCAAAGCGTGGTACACACCCGCAGGCTTTACAATGCATAGGTAAATGCACCAAACCATCTTTCATTAAATGCGTCGCAGAGAGGCGAGGACATTGCATGAATGTTGTGTGATTGAGTATGGTTTGGGAATGCTTAATTGTTATTTCGTCTTTATTGTTCTTATTTATTGAATGAAGCAGAAGCATTGCCTTCAACGAGTGGTGGGGCGCTGGTGTTTGGTTGCCCTACTACTGGTTGAAGATACTGTTGCTTCAATTGCATCTTCTCCAGTCAAGCAAGGCGTCAAGTCAAGCGGAAGCCAAGTACAGGCGCCCTTGACTGAATTTTGAACTCCCGCTCCACCGCTTATATACACAACGCCCGCGTTCGAGGGAGAGGTCAGCACCCCCCCCTGCGCACGCTCGGCTTGCTAAACGCCCGGTGTTGTCTCATCCTTTAATGGCTCCTGGAGCGACTGTTCTGCAGGCGTTTTCCTCAGCTGACAAGAGCATGCGCAGTGGGGGTGTGAGCAGCACTGCCGACGCCAAAGCGCGACTAAAAAATGCTCCACATTTAAAAAGATTTTTCTTATATTAGTGCATTATTCTTTCACAATTTCAAAATCACCCCACTTACAGCAGTTGCTGCAAGATGACGCAAGGTAAACAAGAAAACGCAGTAAAATAATGTTAAAATTTAGGTGCGAAACCGACAAAGACAGAAATGAGCACGGATACACAGGACAGGGCACAATTCTTCGTTGCGCCGTGCCCTCTTTATCTGTGCTCCTTTCTAGCCTCGTCGATTTTGCGTGTCCAAGTTTTAATATTATTACCCAACTAGCCCCGCAACACATCTTTTGAAGTGGTAAAAAAAAATGCAGGTGGCAGCACCACTTTGAGGTTCCTGCAAGGAACGTTGTGACATCAGAGATTTCGACGGCACCTACTAGCTCACCAGTAGAGATGAAGCACTTTGTCCTCTGGGGGCATTAGTTTAATATACCAAGTTTAAGGCAATTTGTTGGAGCTGATGTCAACAAAATAAGAAAAATAGTAATCCACAAAGCAAAACACAGAGATTGTCCTGTTCGATGCATTGCTTTTCCATTTAGCTTCAAGACTACAACACTTCAGACATGCTACATTGTTAGTACATTGCAGCACAATCCATCACTGTTCACATGCGCATTTAAACCCACCAAAGTATAGGGCATGGATCTTCAGGCAATAATACCTGGAGAAGAATCTGGTTATGCGATCCTTGTATGTACACCCATGGGAATGATGGGAAGTACAGGCTTTAGAGTGGATTGCGTTAGCTGGTGAACAGTCTATTAGTTCATCGCACAGCGTGGGTGGTGGGGTGAGGTGCAAAGCACTGAACCAGTGCCATTGTTGTTGAAAGAAGCTGAAGACCGCTAGGTCTCTTGATCTGCTGCGATGTTGGAGCTTTACAAGTTGTATTTGACAGTTTAAACGAAACATCGTTCAGTCACCACTGCACATAGATTGAGCATCCCATACTAGAGCAGGATATTGCATAGAGTTTACGTTTTTTCATTATCCCTTCTTGCTAAAACTCGTTTAAATCAACTGCCATACGATGGTGAAGCTATATAAACTCACCATCACACTCCTCCAGCTCCACAACAAAACGAGAGGTACGTTGGGGGCAGACCACTTGGACAGATGCACCTGGCATCGTAGCAGACGATAAGTTAAGTGTTTCTTCCTTAATACAGTACTGATTTTTCTATGAATAAATAATGCGTACTTCTGAAGAAAAAACAAGTGTGTTTGTTTTCAAATGTGGTAGGAAAAATTTATTATATCTTGATGACAAATCTTAAATGCAATACTAGTGTAATGCATACACTGGTTGTTAAATTCGTACAGCTTTCACTTCTACCTCATGGTCACAAAAAACTTTTTCATGTAAAGTTTACCTACAAATGAATGATGCAAGTTTCAATTAAATATATTTTCATATTTCTCTGTTTTACTCTCTGGCAAACAAACGTCACGAATCTCAAGAACGTGATTCATCGGAAGCAGATTAGAAACAAGTCTTCAGATGGGGTTACAAGCGCTGTTGCAGCAGCTTGCCTTGACACAAGCACCAGATTCCCCTCTAGGTATTATTGTATAAAACTGCTACTGATATGGGGCGTAATTCCACTGTGTTTCGGACGGTAACGCTCAAGTCACTCTCCAACAAAGGCTTTTTTGAATGCCCATAAGCAATGCACTCAGAGACCTCACACCACTCAACTTTTCCAATTTTATTGGATACTCCACGTCAACAAGCGGCTAATGCAAATAAATACTGTTGTCAATAATTATAAACAACACTCGTTTACTTGGCTATTTTACAAACCTTCTCTTTCTTACAATACACACAAACAAATGCACTTAAACAGCCATGTCGAAACATAATTTTCTTATTGAAAAAGAAAAGGAGTATTTTTTTGTACATATCTAGTCTTCTGCAATAGGTGCCTCCAGGATGGCCTCGAATGCGAATGGCACAAACATGTACCCTTCTCCCTTGTAAAACTTGCTTTGGAATTCCACCCTAAAGGAAAAACAGCAACAAATAAAAACATTTTCAGTTTTATGCAGTGTTTTGGTTGTTTATGTAGACATGCAGAATACTACTACGCCTATCAAGTCTTTTCAGAGGACATTAGAGTAATGCGCCTGAACTGTTATAAAGGTGCTACGTTGCCAGCAATGCACTAGTTAATTTAGTTGAAGTAATTATTGTGTCTGAACTGGTGTATACGTATGAGAGATAATGGTCAAATACTGCAGCAGGGTGGCCAATCCTGCACTGGTGAGGAAGTGCATTACTGGCTGTGGGGGCCGGTGTGGTTGCACCCCAGGCTTGTGATAACCTGTGAAATATATTACGCTCAAAATTTACTATACTAAAAGCATATTAAGCTGGTATAACAAGCACTTAAACTTAAAAAATGATTGCTGTAAATAAAGTGTAGTCCTTATCAGTACTTGGCTCAGCTATAGCCTAAGCTTCTATGTAAGAATGATTTGACAACGATGAATCGATGTGAGGGTAATATGCTCCTTTAAGATTGAAGCGAGGCTTCACGGCAGTAATTTCCCCTGAATAGATGCTTTCGCAGCTCAACATTCTTTTATTGCAGTGAAACCACCTTTACCAAAATTTCATGCAGTGTTTTCATGATTTAGCACCAGTTTACCGCAGTGAAACTACCTCCACAAAGAATTACATGTGGATTTATATGTACCTATTTGTTCACTTCGCAAGATTTTCAATAATTTTAATTTGTATCAAAGCAAATTCGAATACTGTAATATTTGTACGAACATTCCAATGTTTGCACAAGCCCAGTATAAATGCTTGCTTAAAGATTCTGTTGTTTTTGGCATCTATTTGAATTTAAAGCCTATCAATGTTGTAACTTAAGACCGAATTTGCTCTTTGCAGAAACGCCCAACACCTAAATGCGCCATAGAAAGTTGGCTTTATTGTAGGCTACCACCGATGCTTACTGTATTTGTTGATAAATCTAATGGTACTACGTGCCAAGAAGCACCAGCATTCTCTTACCTTCAACACCAAGACAGACAAAACTCTGCTAATACTTTTTGAAGACAAACGACACCAAGTACATCCTTCTTTTATTGGTTAGTTCTCATAATAGCTGGGATTTACCTGCCAAAATCGCCATGAGGCACACTGTATCAGAGGGCTCTGCAAATTTCAACCATCTCGTGTTCTTTGACGTGCACCGACATGGCACAAAACACACGGGCTTCAAGCATTTCACTACCACTGATACGTGACTGCCCCGGATAGGATCAAACTCGTGACCTTTGGGTTGGAAGTCGAGCATCGTAATCACTGTGCCATTGAGGCAGACATTGGTTACTTTGTGCTAGCTTAACAGGTGTGAGTTGTGTCCATTCAGGTGTGGTCTGAATCACAACAGCGATGCAGTTTGCACTACTTGTGAGTGGGGTTGACACAATCTCTATAGCTACAATAGCGACAAAACAGATAGTCAAAAGTGCTAAGTACAGCTCTAGATAAAACTGCAGAGAAGTATTACCAGTGGAGACGCAAGGCATGCAGAAAAGCTGACAGCCCTTCCATGATGAGCAGCACAGCCACGGTGAGGAACGCCCAGGCAGGCAAATGTGAAGTACATCACAAAGCCCCCGACCACACTGATGGGCATGAGGCCATTCTTCAGGACCATGTTCCACAGCACCTCCGACAGCTCTGTGCAACATGGGAGACATGGACGTCAGATAGAATCCATGCAGATGCTACTGTACAGACACGCTGCAGAAAGGCAGCTTATTGTATCTACTCAAAAATGTGATGCAATTAAATACTTAGCCTTACCACTGTTCAAGACCACATACAGATGTTTGAAGTACAAGGATGTTAAACGGCCCAAATAAAAATGACAATGCTTACATGAAGGTAGATTCAGCAAGTGAATGGTACAAAGTCGTCTCATTTCTACGTAGCCTTGATTCAATATTATGCATTCGTGCTGCAACAGTACGTAAAATATGTACTATAAACAAGTTACCTTGACAGTCACAAAAACCGTTTCAGAAGGGATTCAAATGAGACAAGAGGCTTGTTTGAAGAGATTGACATCCTTGAACATAGGGTGCCACTGGATCCGCAGTTTCGAAAAGTGGACTTGATGAAGGCAAGATGATTTGTCTATTTGGTTTTGCCAAACTTCTTGTGGCTTCAGCGAATTCACATGGCCTGCCAGTAAACGAGTCGACAGGCAACCTTCAGAAATGACACTCACGTGCATGAGCCAGGCTCAGAGCCCAAAGTCGGAGGTAGGAAGCAGTGTGCGACACAGAACCCAGGCAGTACTCGATGGTGTGGATCGTCTGGTTGATGAAGGTGTCGCCAAAATCAAATTCACCCAACTCGTTGCCGTGACCGCCGTGGGCTCCTCCACCGTGGCCGCCTCCACCAACAGCTTTGGGTGGCTCTGATGTCGCATTGGCCACTGCCCCTTCTTCGGCGTCCTTTGGGTCGTGATGAGACGAGCTGGAGGCAACAGCCTACGCAAAGACAGGTGAAGATCTCGAGCCTGTTTGACTGATACTGATGCCACAGGGGTACGAGAATTGACATTCAGTATTAGGACATTAGGTTCCTCAATGACATCTTCTTCGGGGGAGCTGCCACACATCTAAATTCAATTACATTTGACCTAATGCTGATAACAGCAACCTTTGAAATTAATGACTCAAGGGTAATACTAATAAAATATGAACACGCCTCTAATCTGATTTCAGGGGTAGTGAAATGCAGACGCAAGCATACTACGGTGGCAATGGCCCAAGTTTGTTCTTGCATTGCAAAAGATCACAGCAACTTCGGTCATTCCATGTTAAGTTTGAAGCCTGGAATCCAACATGATACTTGTCACGTGGAAGCTGTAGCAACTCTGAAGTGAACTTCGCTACAGTTATCGGTTAAAAGTCACGCATAACAGATGTTTGAAACTGACAGACGTTAGGTAAAATGTTTTATGTGTACTGCACTGAGCAAGCTAGCTTGGTGTCGAGAGTACGCATTCTTCAGTCGTATGGGTTATAGCGAAGGCACTAGGTGATGAATGGCATTAGGGGTGAATGACATTATCTATGTGTGTCACATGTACATGAAAAAAAAAAAAAAAACTAAAAATAAGAACTATCGTTACATAACAAGTTATGAATAGAGTTGCAAGGCTGCAGTATAGTCTACGAGGAATGCTACAATAGAGGCCACTGAATGAGGCTCTGGCTCCTCTTTTCATAATAGAGAGGAATTTGCTACATTGAAGTTGATTCTATCACAATGCAGCTGTGATGGCCAAGCATCAACAGGCACAATTTTTAAATAGCCAGTGTAAGCCATCAAAATTTGTTCCTTGAACAGGATTGTAATAATGTCTGGGGTTCTATGTCCCAAAACTATGATATGATTATGAGGAGACACTCCGGTAGAAGGCTTGGGAGATTTCAATCATTTGGTGGCAAACACTGACATCAAACAGTATACCACTTTACCATTTCGCCTCCACTGAAATATGACTGCCATGGCCGGGATCAAACTCGTGACCTTCGAGTCAGCAGCCCAGCACCGTAGCCCCTGATCACCATGGACGACTCTTGAAAAAGAAGCTTTGCAAGAATTTTGTCAAATTGCACTGCGAGTTCCTTAACGTCTTCAAAACAATGCGTTTTTTGAGAGATGCTACTTTGAAGGACTCTGGAAAATTTCATACCGAGGGTCCATTATTGGGCTACCAAAATAACTAGTACCACTGGAGCATTTATCCATTCCACCCCCACAAAAGTGGAGCAGCTGCCACCGGGAATCTAACCCACAACTTTCTGCACCACAGCACAGAACCATAATTACTGTGGCAGGCAGTAGTTTGTAACAATTGTGGCAACAAAATAGTGTACGCATACGAGGCACAAGTGTTCTGTGAGAACGCATTGTTATTCCCTCAAATTAAATGCCTTAACAGTCTGACCTTCATTAATGATGCTCGATGGTGTGCCGTTTGCTTGAAAGGCGAGCGTATATGACACTGAGTTATTAGCATCCATCTTTGAGTGCTGCAATTAACATTTTTTCCTGGCCCATCGGCTACATTCCACGATGCTTTCCTGCCAAATTTTCAGATTTGATTTGATTGATTTGTGGTGTTCATTGTCCCAAAACCACCGTATGATTATGAGAGACGCCGTAGTGGAGGGCTCCGGAAGTTTTGACTACCAGGTGTTCTTTAATGTGCATCAAAATCTTAGCACATGGGCATATGAAGTTTTCACCTCCCATCAAAAATGCAGTCGCCGCAACAGAGATTCGATCCCGCGACCTGTGGGTCAGCAGCCGAGTGAGTACCTTAGCCCCTACACCACCACGGCGGGCCATGCCCAATTTTCAAGAGTAGTGGCAGGGGTAGGGAAAAATGTTGACATGCAAATTATTTGTGTGGTGTCAAGAAATTCATGTTCTTAAAAAATTTAAGACAAAAACAGTTATAATCGGTTTAAGAATATTTGTTATGTAAACGCCACCTTTATTACTGCTACAAAACTCGTTCACCGATATTACTGGTAGAGTGCTTGCTCGTAGGCCTGCATTTTAAAATTTGCTGGTTCATCATTTTTTGGGTGTATGATGCGTAATAAACAGAGGTTATTAACACCCATTTAGCAGTTTCAAAAGTGGAATCACGTACGAAGATAAAAGTGCCACCTTCAATCATATCCTCACGTGGCATCAAACATCACACAACTACTATGCTGTCTCCATGCTCAACACCGCACTTAACAGCCCCAAGCTGCAGACGTGAAACCAATAATCGTAACAGAACGACACAAAGCAACTTGAAATCAAGGAGATGAAAATGGTGAACAAGTTACATTATCACTGCCATTGCAGCAATGCTAAATAAAGTCGGAATGTTATTTTTATGAGAGATAACGGTGAAAAATTCAGGAGGGTAATCTTTATACAATTGAACATGGGACAAGAGAATTTCCTCTTTCCACCCCAGAATGATTCTTCGCAAGATTACCATCGTGTTTGGACGGCCAGCCCTGGCGCTCATTGCCATCTTGTGCTTGTGGCGCAGATAGAAGGGCTTGGCAAGCAGGATCCACGGGATGCAAATCAAGGCCACAAAGACCAGCAAGCTCTGCAGGCCTTTCTGCACAAATGTAATGAGATAACTGCTGCATAAATTACCGCTATTGCATAAACCAGCATGCTACACTGTGCAATTTTTAAAGTAAATGAATGAAAACAATATATTGACAAGAAACAACTGGAAAAATTTGCAGAATGATACGATTCAATATTGTACAAATAGCATATGAAGCCAGAAACATGGGTGCCGCACTTATTCCACTTCGCGTCATCACTGATTTATTATCCCAAAAGGCCCCCAATTAGGCATTACATAAGGAGAGGGTATCAGAATATTGTATTATATATTATATTATATAGAATATTATATGCAAGAACACCAAGAAATGCCACAGACAATTAGGTGCATTAGTGGTGCACACTTCTATGAAATAGAGAAATAATAAAAAAGATACCGTATGTTTCCATGTGTGTTCATAAAATATTTGCATTGTGTTTTCACAAGCACCAGAAAAAAAACAAGGAAAAGGAAGACCCATTCAATATGTTTTCGCATATGTTCACAAAATGTTGAATGCACTGGTTTAGAAAGCACAATCTACCCGAAGGCATTGTTACATAGGTTATACATATTTATGGAAGTGAAGACAATGAAATGCTATCATTTTAAAGGCACAATTTTCAGGACTATAAAGGTGCAAGGCAAAATATAAGATATAAATGAAAAAAAAAGAGCAGTTAGAATGCAAGATTCTAATTCGATGACAGAAGACGTCTGCTGTTGATCAGTTTAATTTCGCCAAGTGAGTTGACACTAATGTTGTGTCTTGACTATTAGAGAATGAAAAAGGTTGTGGACGCCACCGTAAGCTTCAAAACTACTCTGTCTTTATTTCTCCCTTTTCCTCCTTTGCTTGGCCAGCCGGTGGATTATAGGACGTCTTGGCTCGGCACACTACAACTAACTGCCTGAATTTCGAATTGTCACGCTCATGGACAATGAGAGTTCGGGAAGTGAGTTTCATTTTTCCATGACCAAAGAAACTTAATGAATGCACTTGTAAAGCCTGTTATACGCTGCACAATCATGGCATTGAAAAGCCAACACGATGTTTGCACAGGTGGCATTACAATGCAGGTGCAAAGGCCAGGAAGTTATAAAGATTATGTAACAGTGGCAGCTGCAGTGTCTTTCTCCACTCAGCCAAGAAGCCAAGACCGATGAATGATTTGATGGTGCTGGCACCGCTAATAATTTCAAAGCTGATAAGATGACCCACCCGATTCAGAATGCTTTCTAGTAATTCAACTAAATAGTTCTGATGTGGTCTCCATATTGTGCAGGCATGTTTGAGTTAAGGTCTGGCATCCGTACTTTATAGGAGAGTTTTCAGATGCAACTTGGAAGAGAAAAGTTAATGAAATTAGGTGTTTTGGATGTGTCTGTGACTGATTTTGTGATGTGTTCAGACTGACTGAGCGTGTCAGTGGAATGGACACCTGGATAACAGTACCAATAAAATGCATAAAAAGGGTCGTATATTTTAATGTGTATGGATGATTTAGGGCAGAATGTTCTCACAACACTTGGATACTTTTACATTTGGATACTGTTGTTTCATGAGCTTCAACCAGAGGGCACACCAGGTTTTTACTATGGCGAGGTTCCTCTGCAGGAGTGTCTGGTCAGTGGCAGAATTTATGCAACGATAAAGAACACAATCATCCACAAATAGGCAAACGATAGACAAAACATTACAACGAATGTTGTTGAAGACAGTACATGAGCAAAATAGGCGCTCCCATAAAATCACAAGCAAGCATGCTTCAGATGGACATATATTAACCATGAAATGACATCGCGAGACAAATGATAATGCTAAGAAATGGTGATATCAACCTTTGTTTGATGAAGTCACTTGCCTGGCGCCTCGGAGTGGCTCAATGCAGGAAGCGACTCTTTCGACCCAAGAAACGATGGCCAACTGTTTCTCCCGGTCGGAAGTTCGGACTAGCTCACTTAATTTTGATTTTGAGGGAGCTAGTAGGAGTGACATTGCAAGGGGAAAACCCCCACATCAACACAAGACAATAATCGCTGTGGTTTTATGAAGGAAAACCAAGATATGTTTATGAGCAAAACATAAAAGAGGGCTCTGGAAACTTGAATTACCTGGGGTTTTTTTTTAACATGCGCCTAAATTTAAGAACACGGGCTTCAAGCATTTTACCCCCCCTGAAATGTGATCACTGCAGCTGGGATTGAACGTGACTTTTGGATCAGCAGCAGCCAAGCACCATGACCACCATAACACCGTGGTGACAACACTAAAGACAAGACACCGTAGCACTGCGCCAGTGGCGGCCAGCCAACTGGAGAGAAAGACGACGAGCAACGGTGGCTCATGGCGCAAGGCAGTTGAAATGTTAAGGTGCTTTTGGCTGGCTTGAAGCCACAAGCGCTGCTTTGCTTCGGCCTCTTGCATCTTCAGCTGTGCGCCTTTGTCTACTCATTAAACTAGCGACGACAGCACGCCTACATTGGACGCCAATATGTGGCTATAATATTGTCACAGTGTCGTGACATGGCCGAAGACAGGACACTTTATGTTGGGATTTAACTGTTTATTTGGGCGAACCTGTGCCCAGTAAACGGAAAGTGCGATTACAGTAGCAGTCTTGCACAGATAGCAGTGAACGAAGCGTCGGCCGTCGATCAACTACTGACAAGCGACGAAGCGCGTCGGCATTTATACTCTTGCTGTCGAATGTTCTAGCGTTATCGCTGGCGGTGGCGTAGGTTCCAAAATATTCTGTACAGTTCGCAGAGTAGGCGTGATCTTATCGAAATGATCTACTACAGTCCGGAAGCTTCTCGAAAACTGCAGGCGCGGTTTGCGCTGTGAACTGTGTAGTGTTTTGGGACGACAACAATACTTGAGAAATGGAACGTGGCATTGCCCCCTCTGAAAAAGGCATCGTCCCGATGCTTTAAATAAAGATGAAGGTACAACAATAATGCAAGAAAGTACAATGAATAAATTACGATACAATAATACAAAAAAAAAACACCGTTTCAGTTTGTCAACGCACATGAAACGGCTTGAGGCGCGCGACATGGACGACTTCAGGTCGCGATTGGCGTCGTTGAGAGTTCGTGATGCCATCGGGGACAACCTCGTAATCAAGTGGGCCGAGACGTCAAACCACCCTGTACGGTCCGAAGTACCGTCACAGAAACTTTTCACTTAGTCCACGTCTGCGTATCGGCGTCCACACCCAAACACGTTCACCGGGCTGATATTCCACGAAGCGTCGTCGAAGATTGTAACGGCGGCTGTCGGTCGTCTGTTGATTCTTGATACGGAGACGCGCGAGTTGTCGGGCTTCTTCGGCGCGTTGAAGGTACTCACTCACATCGAGGTTTTCTTCGTCGGTGACGTTGGGTAACATGGCATCGAGCATCGTTGCCGGGCTCCTTTCGTAGACCAATTTGAATGGAGATATCTGCGCCGTCTCCTGCACCGCCGTGTTGTATGCGAAGGTCCCGTACGGAAGAATGGCGTCCCACGTCTTGTGTTCGACATCGACGTACATTGCCAGCATGTCGGCGATAGTCTTGTTAAGCCCCTCGGTGAAGCCGTTAGTCTGTGGTTGGTACGCTGTCGTCCGGCAGTGGTTTGTCTGGCTGTATGCCAAGATCGCTTGAGTTAAGTCGGCAGTAAATGCCGTTCCTCTGTCGGTGATAAGGACCTCCGGGGCGCCGTGACGTAGGACGATATTTTCGACGAAGAACTTAGCTACCTCGGATGCACTGCCTTTGGGAAGGGCTTTTGTCTCGGCGTAGCGGGTGAGGTAGTTGGTAGCTACCACGATCCACTTGTTTCCGAAAGCCGACGTTGGGAACGGCCCCAGTAGGTCCATACCAATCTGCTGGAAAGGTCGGCAAGGTGGTTCAATTGGCTGCAGAAGCCCCGCTGGCCTTGTTGGCAGTGCCTTGCGTCGCTGACAGTCCTGGCATGTCCTCACATAACGAGTGACATCGGTGGTAAGATGTGGCCAGTAGTACCTTTCTTGAATCCTCGCGAGCAGTGCGAGAAACACCGAGGTGCCCTGCCGTCGGATCGTCGTGCAGGGCCTGCAGAAGTTCTGGTCGCAAAGCTGAAGGCGCCACAAGGAGATACTTAGCTCGAAGTGGTGAAAAGTTTTTCTTTTGTAGAAGACCGTTTCGCAGGAAGAACGACGCAAGTGCGCGCTTGAATACCTTCGGGACTTCGGCGGTCCTGTCCTTCGAGGTATTCTATTGGGGCCTTAAGTTCCGGGTCGGCCCGCTGTCGTTCAGCGAAGTCGTCGGGTGGTGGTTGGTCGACAGGCGCACAAGAGAGACAGTCGGCGTCAGAGTGTTTCTTGCCGGACTTGTAAATTCTTGAAGTCTCAGGCTCCATCGTGTGAGGCGACCTGAAGGGTCCTTCAAGGTGGCTAGCCAACACAAGGCGTGGTGGTCGCTCACAACTTTGAAGGGCCTGCCGTAGAGGTAGGGGCGAAATTTCGACGTAGCCCAGATGATGGCGCGGCACTCCTTTTCTGTTGTGAAATAATTGGCTTCTGCTTTGGATAGCAATCGGCCGGCAAAACTAATAACCCTTTCAAGTCCGTCAGCCCTCTGCACAAGAACGGCACCAAGACCTATGCTGCTTGCGTCAGTGTGTATTTCTGTCTCGGCGAATTCGTCGAAATGGGCAAGTAACGGAGGCGTCTGGAGGTGATGTTTAAGCTCCTGGAAAGCGTGTTCCTGCGGCGTTTCCCACTTGAACTCCACGTCGGCCTTGGTAAGGTTAGTGAGAGGATCGGCGATGCGGGTGAAGTTTTTCACGAACCGCCTATAATAGGCGCACAGGCCCAGAAATCGGCGATGGCCGCTGTTGTCCGTGGATCGGAACGAACTCCAGACTTGCTAATAACGTGCCCCAGAAACAAGAGCTCCTCATACGCAAATCTGCACTTTTCTGGTGTGAGTCCGGACGTCTTGAAGGCTTGAAGTACAGCTTCAAGGCACCGAAGATGCTCGTCGAAACTCGAGGAAAACACGACGACGTCGTCCAAGTACAAAAGGCAAGTCTGCCACTTCAGTCCTGCCAGTACTGTTTCCATAACACGTTGAAAAGTTGCAGGCGCTGAGCAAAGACCGAAGGGCATCACATTAAACTCGAAGAGGCCGTCCGGTGTTATAAACACCGTCTTCTCTCGCTCTCTTTCGTCGACTTCGATTTGCCAGTAACCAGTGTTGAAGTCCATTGACGAAAAGTACTTGGCGTTATGGAGCCGATCAAGTGCGACGTCTATTCGTGGGAGAGGATACACGTCCTTTCTTGTGATTTTATTCAGGCGGCGCAGAAACAGTAGGGTTCCATCCTTTTACTTCACTAACACCACGGGGGATGCCCATGGGCTCTTGGACGGCTGGATGATGTCATCCCGCAGCATTTCATCAACTTGTCTCATCATGGCCTCACGTTCTCGCGTCGAAACCCTGTACGGACTCTGACGGAGTGGTATGGCATTTTCTTCGGTTATGATGCGATGTTTCGTGATTGGGGTCTGCCGAAGTTTTGATGACGACAAAAAGCAATCTTCGTATTGCAGGAGCAGGGCCTTGAGCTGTTCTTGCTTATGGTTCAGAAGTCTGGGATTAACATCGAAAGCTATGGGAAGGGCTTGGTTCCTCTGAGCAGCTTCCGCAGAATCGGCGAGGGCGAAAGCACTGGTGGCTTCGACAATTTCTTCGATGTATGCGACCAGTTGTTCCTTTGTTCACATGTTTGTACTCATTGCTGAAATTCGTGAGCATAACTGTTGCTTTGCCTCCCCGCAGCTCTGCAATTCCTCTTGCGACGCAAATATTTCGGGTGACCAACAGATGCTGACTGCCTTCAATGACGCCTTCGAAGTCGGGTGATTTAGGAGCGCCGACTGAAATAATGACGCTGGAGCGAGGCGGAATGGTGACTTGTTCTTCCAGCACATTCAAGGCATGGTTTCCTGACGGCGTGCACGGCGGTAGTGCTTCTTCTGTGGATAACGTTATCGACTTTGTTCTTAGGTTGATGACAGCACCATGGAGGCATAAGAAGTCCATACCAAGGATGACATCTCTCGAGCAACGCTGTAGGACTACGAAGTCTGTAGGATAAATACGGCCGTTAATGGTGATTCTCGCTGTGCAGATTCCTGCTGGCGTTACAAGATGACCTCCGGCTGTGCGGATTTCAGGGCCTTCCCAAGCTGTCCTAACTTTCTTTAACTTCGTGGCGAACGACCCACTGATGACGGAGTAGTTGGCTCCAGTATCGACTAGAGCGGTCACACTGTGGCCGTCGATAAGAACATCGAGGTCGCTAGTTCGCCGTCTCGCATTACAAGTTAGGGCGTGGCGTCGGGTCACGGCTGCGCCGGCTTGTTCCGCTGCTTCCATGTTGCGTCGTCAGGTCACCTTCGGTAAGTGAGGTTTCGCCATCAGGGCTTTGCCTGGTTGGCGTTGTGTTCGCAAAGCTCCATCGCGGCGGCGTCGTCAAAGAAGAATCTTCGGTAGTTCGTCGCACAGCAACCGCACCTCCATCGGTTGCTGCCCTTAGTTTCCCGGATACGGGCTAAGAAACCGGCCCCGCGTTAGGCCAGAGTACTGCCGGTGGTGCGGTGACGTGCGGCGGCTGGGTGACGGCGAACGCGAAGGGCTTCGTGGCGTCTACTGAGTTCCTGTCAGGTAGTCGGCGATGTCACGTGGTTGTTCTCCTGGCTGTGGACGCGGTGCATTGACAGCGAAGCCACGCAGTCCCATCTGGCGGTACTGGCAACGGCGGCATGTGTGTCCGGCCTCGCCGCAGTGGTAGCAGAGCGGGCGGTAGTCAGGGGTGCGCCAGACGTCAGTCTTCCTCGGTGCACTGTGCTGGGCCGCTGGCGAACGGTATGACGTCGGTGGGGGCGGTGGCGTCTGTCGACGGAAGTGCGATGGGGTGGCGTTTTGGCGTGGACGGGGAGGAGCGTTGTGGTGCACTGCAGCGGCGTAGCTCATAGCTTCCGGCTCGGGCAGCGGTGCTTGGGGAATTCGAAGCAATTGCCGAACTTCTCGTACAATGTCGGCAATCGAATCCACTTGAGGCTGCGCCGAAGGCAACAGCTTGCGCAGCTCTTCTCGCACGATCGCTCGGATCGTTTCACGCAGGTCTTCGGAGTTACTGGCTTGAGCAGCAGCGCATTCTGGAGTCAGGCGACGATTATACTGTCTGGTGCGCATGTCCAGGGTCTTTTCGATAGTGGTCGCTTCGGCTACAGATTCTTGGACGGTGTTCGGTGGATTTCTCATCAGTCCCGCGAAGAGCTCCTGTTTGACCCCTCGCATGAGGAAACAAACTTTTTTCTCCTCAGACATGTCTGGGTCAGCGTGACGAAATAGTCGGGTCATTTCTTCTGTGAAAATGGCGACATTTTCATTTGGTAGCTGAACCCGAGTCTCTAATATAGCAGCGGGCCTCTCTTTGTGAGCGACGCTCGCGAACGTTTGCAGGAATGCGCCGCAGAAAACATCCCACGTTCGGAGCGTGGACTCCCGATTTTCGAGCCAGGTCCTTGCGGTGTCTTCCAAATAGAAGAACACACGACGGAACTTTTCGTCATGGTCCCAGTGGTTAAGGGCGGCCACACGGTCGTATGTTTCTAGCCAGGACTCCGGGTCTTCGAACGATGACCCATGGAAAATTGTTGGTTCCTGGGTTGATGCATGACCATCGTGGGCTGGGACGCTGCGGTTGTCGTCGCTGCAGTCGCGGTCATGGCCTAGGTCTTCCGCGCCTTGTCTTGTAGAAGCTCGTACTCCGGTGGTAGCCCTTGCTGTCGGCGGCTTGTTCCGCTGCTACTGGTTGGCGTCGGTGTCTTCTCCGCAACGTGGGCTGGGTTCACGGCTTGACGGGGGCGTCCGATACATGAACGAAGCAGCACCTCCACCAGATGTCACGAGGTCTTGACGTGGTCGAAGACAGGAGACTTTATGTTGGGATTTAACTGTTTATTTAGGTGAACCTGTGCCCGGTAAACGGAAAGTGCGATTACTGTAGCAGTCTTGCACAGATAGCAGTGAACGGAGCGTCGGCCGTCGATCAATTACTGACAAGCGGCGAAGCGCGTTGGCCTTTATATTCTTGCCGTCGTATGTTCTAGCGTTATCGCTGGCGGTGGCGTAAGTTCCAGAATAATCTGTACAGTTCGCAGAGTAGGCGTGATCTTATCAAAATGATCTACTACAGTCCGGAAGCTTCTCAAAAACTGCAGGCGCGGTTTGTGCTGAGAACTGTGTAGTGTTTTGGGACGACAACAAAACTTGGGAAATGGAATGTGGCAATATTCTCATGCCCAGATTTTCTTGCCTTAGATCCTCACTTACATACTGCTTACCATTCTACTATGTATACTTACAAACCTGTCATGTGTACTTAAAAACCTGTTATGTACACTTACAAACTTGCCATGTATACTTTCAAAACTGCCCAGTTTTCCATTTCTATGCTAGTACACATTTGCCATATAATGCATGTGCCTGGAGTAAAATTAATGCCTAAATTTAAAAAAAAGATACAGCTTTTGCATAGGAACCCTGAAAAATAGTTATGTTCCCTCTCACCTGTCCATTGTAGAACTGTGCCTGGTAGCAAGGCTCGGTTGGGTAGGAGAAGAGAAACATGTTGATGAGCGCGATCAGGAGGCTGGGAGCACAGAACGTGTCCTTTCCAAAGTTGATGGTCCACTTGGCAAAGATGATGATCACGAGGTAGCCGAAGATGGAACACAGGAACAGCAGCTGAGGCACAAACTCACACCACACGTTGGCAATGTTGCGGAAGAACCTGGATGACCGCCATGAACCCTTCAGTGTTGCTCCAACAAAAGAAAACTTGTTCCTATAAAGGAGAACACTTATACAGCCACGTAAGTTATATTACTGTGCATTTAACAGGTGCAACCAGATTACTTGCAACTACTTCATGGTGGAGGCTCTGAATACACTACTGAGAGTTGCTCACCAGGCGCAAAACTAGCCACACACACAAAAAAAGATAAATTTTGCAGTTTTAAATGTCACAATTGTAACACGATTTGTTGTAGTCACAGATCTCAAAATAATCTTGAACAATGGGGGATCTTTAATGTGCACCTAAAAAGGCATACAGGGGTGCAGTTAATCATACAGAAATGTCAGCTGATTGATATGTGGGGTTGAACGTCCCAAAACCACCACTATGATTATGAGAGACGCCGTAGTGGAGGGCTCCAGAAATTTTGACCACCTGAGGTTCTTTGACGTGCACCCAAATCTGAGCACATGGGCCTACAACATTTCCGCCTCTATTGGAAATGCGGCCGAGTACCTTAGCCACTAGACCACGGCGGCGGGGTACAAATGTCAGCTTTCTGCCCATCACCACCACTGAGATTAAGGCATTTAGCCAATAGCATATAACAGCAAAAGAGTTAAATTACCATACTGATTGACATGTGAAAAATGTCACAAAGCAAAGCAGCCGGGAGTATTGGAGGCTTATTTCTTTGCAAAGCAGGGCAGACACACAAGAGAGGTAATAATTATTGATGGCACGTGAAATACAACGAGAGACTGAATTTCCCATTCTCATGTCTATCTTTTTTCTCACATTCAGCTGAGAATTTAAGAAACACTAAGTTAAGGAGACGTAAACACAGACCTTAAAGATGCTCAAAAGAAAAACTAGTTCTGACCTTAAAAGAAGCTGGCAGTACCCTCACCTGTGGTTCCAAAGACTGAGAAAAACTCCAAAAAGCATCTGCGACACACCAAGCACAATGGACATCTTCATCTTGTAAGAGTTGGTGAAAGGAATCTTGTTGGTAGCCACCTGCCACACCTGCAGACAGAAATTATACGTTATAAATAAAAGCAGGTAAAAAACTACAAAAATATAGTAACGAGGCTTACAGGATCCACGCCAAAAGGGTAAGGCGATCCCAAGTAGTTGTCTACTGGGTCCAGCTGCTCATTCTCGTTATAATCCACCCTGAAGACAGAATAAAAAAATAACAAGGTATTTAACATGCAGCGAGTGATTGGTATCACATGGGAAGCCTTTCGCACAGATTTTGTATTGAGCATACAGAAATATTTCCCACTCATTCTGCTACATAACAATGCCTCGCCACATTTAATCAAACGTTTAATACTACGGTTTCGAAGTGAAGCTGCATAAGTATAACGAACTGCATACAAGCCATTCAAGATCAGAGTTATTTGAGCCTCAACAAACTAATTGGCCAGTAAACAGGGATGTTAATTACACAAAGGGCCAGTAACCGTGTCTTGCTGATGTGCATAGCATGGCCTCCCACTCAATGTAGGCTCTGATTTGGGAATTTATAAGCTAAAAAGGCTATGCAAATAAACTGAACAGTGTATTCTTCTTTCTTGTCCTCATCGTGATTGTGCGCTGGTGCATTGCAATGATACACCAACAAGCCCAAGTTTTAGATATTTTGAACAGCACATCTGCGTGAACAGACATTTACACGGGCTCTTGACGGAGCTGGCCACCATGTACACAATCAATATTTACACTGACCAATGAACTTTTAAGTGGCCGTTACGAAGCACCTCTTTTCAAAGAACAAAAAATGTGATACCTTCGTCTAAATACAGTGCATTGTCTAAGTCTAATCAAAAGGCTTAGTGCAAGCCTTGTTCAGTAAAATTAACTTATTATTGCCATAATAGTTGACTGCTGATGCCATTACCAACCACGTCAACAAACAGGTCTTTGAGAGAAACAAGACACACTGATTCAACATTGTTGGCCACGACTTTCCAAAACAGGTGCAGTGAGTCAAAGACAATTTTTCTTCAGTACAATTACTAGTGCACATAGTTAACGCAAAAAGCATGGAATCTTGCATGTTCCCCTATTCTGACACCCTAAAAAGCCATTTAGGATATACTGAAATAAAAAATTAGGGGAGTATAAATATTTAAAATTTTTAACTTTTTCTATACTGTTTGCCATTTGATTTGGTTCACACAAAAATTTTAAAATTCGAATTTCCTGAAGACAAATACAGTCAACAGTGGCCCCTTCATATTTTTAATATGCATCACCCCATCACACTTTCATGCTGCAGCAAATCTTCCTTTTCAAACTCTTGTACGCTCGCAAATGTATTGACTGGAGAAAACACTGATACCTGGTACATGGCGATAGGTGTGGGCTCAGTTAATGCTGTTTTGGATAAATTTGGGTAAGAAGTCGGAAAAAAACGGATGCAAAAGATCTTCAGCAAACAAAATTTCAGGTGTTCTTATATAATGGCATCTATGAGGCAAACTTGAAACTCTGGACTCGAAGGGAGCAGGCTGTTGTCTGTCATTTCAGTTGGGCTTCCAAAGAATTTGAAAGAGGAGGAGAGGCCGAGGTGCATCTCTGCCTTTTACGTGGGAAGCATTGTCATCACCAAATCATGTACATATACAATTGCGCCTATGAATGCCTCATTCTTAATATAACTATGAAACACCACCCTGCCAGCGCATCGTCAACCTAGCTGAAAGAAATGCTTTTATGTTGCTTTCTCATAAGAATGTGCTTAGAAATTCTCTCCAACATTTTCTTTGTGCAATTTAAATCCGTAGTATTTGAAAAATATCTTATTTGGTTGGCACACAAATATTCAAATTCTTTTCACATACAAAATTTTGATGTTCGCCCAGCTCTAATACAAAAAGGAAAATGGCTTAAGAACCTTGTGCGGTAATAAATGAAAGAAAGTCAATTAGAGGCAATAATATAAAGCCAACAAATAATGAAGCCAAGGAAAGCACTGGAGCACTGAAGCCAAGGAAAGCACAAACGGGGCAATAGCAAAGCTTGAGAAACGAACGCGGCATTCGCTAACCTTACCAAGACCGACGTTGGAGTTTTAAGTGGGAAACACCTCAGGAGGAAGCATTTCAGGAACTGAAACGACGACTGCAGACGCCTCCCCGCTACTCGCACATTTCGACGAATTCACCGAGACAGAAACACACACTGATACAAGCAGTGTAAGACTCGGCGCCGTTCTTGTGCAGAGGACTAACGGACTGAGAAGAGTCATCAGTTACGCTAGCCGATCGCTATCAAAGGGAGAAACCAACTATTCTACAACAGAAAAGGAATGCCTTGCAATCATTTAGGCTACATCGAAGTTCCGCTCCTACCTTTATGGCAGGCCCTTCAAAGTTGTGAGTGACCACCACGCATTGTGTTGGCTAGCTAACTTGAAAGACCCTTCAGGTCGCCTCGCATGGTGGAGCCTGAGACTTCAGGAATTCGACGTTACCGTTATTTACAAGTCTGGAAGAAAACACTCTGACGCCGGCAGCCTGTCTTGTGCCCGCGTCGAACCACCGCCGAAGGACGATTACTGTTGCTTAGGAACTATAAGTGCCGACGACTTCGCCGAGCGACAGAGAGCTGACCCGAAACTAAGAAGCCTTGTAGAATACCTCGAGGACAAGGCTGCTGTTGTCCCAAAAGCATTCAAACGAGGAGTTGAGTCGTTTTTTTTTGCACAATGGTGTTCTCCAGAAGAAAAACTTCTCCTTACTTCGGATCAACTACCTCGTCGCAGTACCTTCAGTGTTATGTCCAGGAGTTCTGGATGCCCTACACGACGACCTGACGGCTGGACACCTCGGTGTATACCGTACGTTGGCAAGAATACAGAAGAAATACTACTGGCCGTGTCTTTCCGCCGATGTCACTCATTATATAAAGACATGCCGGGACTACCGACGACGAAAGACACCGCCGACCTGGCCAGCCGGACTTCTCCAGCCTATCGAGCCACCTAACCGGCCATTCCAGCAAATCGGCATGGACTTACTGGGGCCGTTCCTGACATCGGATTCCAGGAACAGATGGATCGTCATAGCCATCGACTACCTCACGCACTACACCGAGACAAGGGCCCTGCCCAAAGGCACTGCCGTCGAGGCAGCAAAGTTCTTCGTCGAGAACTGTCTTGCGACACGTAGCTGCACAGGTCCTCATTGCTGACAGAGGTACGACCTTTACAGTGGACCTAACTCAGGCCATCCTGAGGTACAGCCAGACAAGTCACCGCCAGACCACTGCCTACCATACATGACCAATGAATGGCCTCACTGAGCGTCTAAATAAGACCATCGCGCATATGCTGGCTATGTACGTCGACGTCGAGCGCAAGATGTGGGATCAAACCCTTCCGTAAGTGACCTTTGCGTACAATACGGTCGTCCAAAAAATGACGCCGTACAAGTTGGTCTATGAAAGGCGCCCGGCAATGACGCTCGACACTATGCTTCCAAACCTTGCTGACGAAGAGAACCTTGACGTCACTGCCTTCCTTCAGCGGGCGGAAGAAGCTCGTCAACTCGCCCGCCTTCGTATCAAGAATCAGCAGGCGACCGACAGCTGCCGTTACAATCTTCGACGAAGCTTCGTGCAGTACCATCTCGGGGACCGTGTCTGGGTATGGATGCCGATACGCCGACAAGGGCTCAGTGAAAAATTTCTGCGACAGTACTTCGGATCGTACAGAGTAGTTAGACGTCTCGGCCCACTCGACTACGAGGTTGTTCCTGACGAAATTACGAACTCTCAAGGGTGCCGTCCTCGACCAGAAGTCGTCCATGTGGAGCGCCTCTAGCCATTTCATGTGCGAACCTGAGGACTGTATTTTGCTATTGTTGGCGTGCTTTATCGCTTATACTTATTGTTTATTGTCTTTATTATTGCATCTTCATCCTTTGTTAAAGCATCGAGACGATGCCTTTTCAGAGGGGGGCAATGCCACATTAGTTTCTCAAGCTTTGTTATCGCCCCGTTACACTATGTTAAGCGCAAGCCACGCCTACGATGTTTGAGAAGCTTCGAGGCTGTGGTAGATCAATTTGTTAAGATTACGCACCCTTCGTGAACATTACAGATTTTTCTGGAACCTACGTCGCCGCTGGCGATAACGCTACAATATTCTATGGCAAGGGTATAAATGCCAACACGCTTCGTCGCTTGTCAGTTGATCGACGGCCGATGCTCTGTTCGCCGCTATCAGTGCCAGTGTCTCCCTTTCCTTTTACCTGACAACAGGTTCGATCAAATAAATAGATTATTCGGCCCAGTACTGTCTGCTCCACTTCGTTGACATCACAACCCCGTGACAATAAATAGGAATGAATATGGATGGATAAGCGATTTGCAAATGACGAGGACTAGGTAAATCTACAACCTTTTTGTTCCTTCTTTTGCAAGTAAATCTACAACCTTTTTGTTCCTTCTTTTGCAAGTAATAGGTGTCACCATTTCACTTAGCGAACAAGGGAGACTCTCAAGCGAACGAAATGCCAGGCCGTATTGCCTTGCACACTGCTCATAGAATGTGTTCTCAGCATAAATTTGTCATGCTGAATGTTCAGAGGGAGTCCAAGAAGCAAGATGTCAGTTTTCAAAGGCACGTACCCCACCAACCCTGAATGCCATATTGGGCACCAATGTAGAGAAGCTGCCAAATTTGCGTAAATGGAATCCGGGGTGATATCTGCCAATCTGCAACAATGTTTAGCTTGGGTAAGTGAGGTGGCTTATGTGCATACATGTGCATACTGGAAGGTGAAAAAGCGAAAATTGAAGGTTGTTACGTCTGTGACTGAAACCAAGGCTTGTTGATGGGGAGATCTCACAGCCACCAAAGTCAATCACACAGAGCACTGAGCTCCTGTCACTGCAGTGCACCACCACAATACAGATGCAGAGGGGGAAAGATCCAGGTAAGCAAGGGTGCTCTGTTGACTTAGCAGAAGACAGTGTCATCTTTCTACTTCCTGAAGAACTACCTCTCTCTGTGCCAAGACCACATTTGGCAGTTGCGATGGTACTTATTCTCTTACTTGTTGCCAGAGTTTACGGTTGGTAAAACGTCACTGTAATTTCTGCTGGTAGCAGGGCTGAAAAGGTGAATAAACGACTGCCACTGCCCCCTGATGCGAAAGAAAATCCTCAAGGTCATCTTGAATGTTTTCTCCACCTACTAGGGCCACCTCTACAACACCTAAGTCTTCTTTCCCCTCCTACACTTTGCCTCTCCCCAATGCCGAAATCTCAGATGGGGCAAGCATATTTGTGTGTAAAGAAAGGCTTCCGTGCTTGCTCTCATGGGTATAAGTGATGATCAACATTCCCAGGCTTACGCATAGAGAAATACCCTATAATGTAGACAAGGGAATGATCACCACCATAACTCAGTTGGTAGAGCACTGTGCAGGCGATGCAAAAGGCTGTGGATTGGACCTTGTGCAGCGGCAAGCTTTTTTTTTTTAAGTTTCATTCCTCTTTTTGTTCATACATTCTTCTTGTTCAAACATAGTACACAATTCCCCTGTGCTCTCTTTGTCTTCATTATCTGTTGCTTCATATAGTTGCGAAATGCACTAAACAGCTGTAAAGGTTGGGCTAATTATGCACAAGCATATCATGCCAGAATAAACAGAAAAAATATTGGCACGCACTTCTTTGGAACAAACCAGGACGAGCCAAAGATGTTGAAGGATTTCGAGAAGGTGTCATTGTAGATGACGCCGGTGTAGATGCTGAAGGCCCCCATAAGCAGGATGATGTATCGGCCACCAAAGAAAGTGTTCCAGATCTGTTCATGTTCAGCGCACACAGCAAGCAAAGATCAATGAGCAGCAATGAAGTTCATTTCCACAGCACTAGTAAATTTCATCTAGAACAGTGCCTTTTGCCGTAGACTGCAGGTACACATTCTCTACACTGGCAATAGGCACAGAATGTCTGCTGGACTTGTATTAGCACTTCATTAGTGCAGGGCTTCAATTTTGCAATTAAAAATTCCACTCTGGAGTGGTTAATTAAGAGATATATGTAATGAGAATAGTATATGAAATACCTAACCACTCTGCAATCTTCCTTGCAAGTAGTGCCTGCCTGTAAGTAGTCCATTAGCACAGCTGATGAGAAAAGAATGCATTATCTGTCGCAGGAGACCTACAGATGACATCTGATGTTGCTCTTGCAGTGCGTACATTGACGGCAAATCTCCTTTATGTTGCCTATTCCAAGCTGAAAACAAAACATGTCTCATGTAACTCATTCCTCTCCGAGCCCTATAAGTGTCATTTTATTGAAGCCTCATTTTAAGAGAAAACAAACATGTTTTATAATTTCTTTCAGTTGAAAATGACACAACTTTGTTCAATGCATGCAGTGTTTTACATGGTTTATTGAACCAGCTTAATTCATTTGTACTTCATTTAAACTCAACCTAACTAGTATATTGCGAAGCTATGAAAGTCTCTACCGAGCCAATGATCGCAGAAATGACAATGCAACAAAATTGTGTTGCTGTCGTAAAAGTGAGCCATGTTGCAGAGTGCCTACAAACAAACTCAGGTTGTTTCTAGGCACTCTCATTGCAACATCAGCAAACTCTACAACTTTATCATTGTGCCAGGTTTAGTGATAAAAAATGCAAACAATATGATGATTGCTATTGCTACATGATGAAGAAATATTAAGCTGCACATGTCATTGAATAACTACTAATTCAGATTTTCCGGTGGTGTGCAACTAGATTAGTTGACGCCATGGTCCAGCTCTTATGGCACATGCATGGTTTATTAATCAATAGTGAAGAGTAATCACCAATACAACCTTAGAATAATTACACACCAACCTCATTGTCAGACTTTTGAGCCTGCAGGGATTTCTCCTTGAGAACCATCCACAGTGCAAAGAGGAACATCAGGGTACCGTGGCCAGCATCTCCAAACATCACAGCAAACAGGAATGGAAACGTGATGATTGTGAACGGGGCTGCAGCAAGTCAGAGCAATGGACGTCAGCTAAATACACCGAAAGCTTCCTCCTGCCTTTTTTTTTTTATAGTGACACCGCTTAACTGTTCCCCGTGCACGTGTACACAGTTATTTCGAAAATATTCTGCAGGTGAATATTATAGTGAGGAGCCAGAATGCCAGCACATTTCAAACAAGATTCATGAAAAAGTAAAAAGGCACTCGCAGCAAAAAAAATTGAATAAAAAGCACAAAGCTAATTAGCGATTATAGTAGTCATCACAGGCAAACATATCAGGAACAAACTCCAAAAAAGAAGGTGGGGGCACAGGAGAGTCATTAGTGAAGCTTGGTTTTAAAATATCCTCAAGTGAACAATGTTGTGAGCAATACAAGCACAGAAAATCGGTGTCATAATTCAACTTTTAGACTAACAATGCTATACATAAACAGCATACACGTGTGAAAGCTCCTATTCTACATTATAATATCTTGCATTTAACGTCCCAAAACCCCGATATGATTGTGAGAAATTTCGCGGTGGAGGACTCTGGAAATTTATACTATCTGGTGTTCAACAAGCACTGACATCACACAGTACACGAGCCTCCAGCATTTTGCTGTAGCCGGGATCAAGCCCATGGCCTTCTGGTCACTCCTGTTCTGCATCATATGTTCCACATATAACACATGGATATGCTTTCTACCCTGCTGCATTGAGTTGGTTCCATGCCAAGTCCACTATGACAGCATGCAGCTACGCAAGACAGTTGCTAAGTATGTACAGCCAAACATGACAAACTGCCCAGTAGAAAGGCTCAGCAGCCAATCTTGAATTACCGCTACTGTGCTGCTCACCTGGGTTCACCTCCCGGTAACTTGGCACAGCATAGGCATCAACGATGCTCTGGAATCCCACAGTGAAGCGATTGGTGCGGTTATAGGTGGGCGGGGTCTCCTTGGTCTCCATGCGGTTCAGGATAGACGGCACTGTGTTGCCACCACGATCCTGGAGAGATACGGCAAGCTTGTTCAAAGTGTGGGATAGGACATGAATGGCCATGTGAGGTAAATGTTTTTTCAAGTACTAGTACCTCCAGACTGAACACACACTCGGGCACCCAAGCTATCAGAGACCTTAAAGCACTGCTCTTTAACGTACCTTTGAATGCACCGCATAAAAGCGAGCATGCCACAGTTTTAAATCAAAATTTTATGCTCTAGTTGAATTCGTAATGTGACCGTGAACTGACAAACATTCGTTCACTTGGGATGTCAAGTTTGAGAATGTACAGAAAAAAAAGGTTGTTTTAGTATCGGTCACCATGTTGGAGTTCACTATGTGGTGTTGCTCACACGTGCCGCAGACAGTGTTCACATTGACCTACTCGGTGGATTTTGGCATAGTCGAAGCTGTGCTAAATATGGCATTGTGTTTTCGCAGTGGCACCACCTGGCGGCGGGGATAATGGGGCAACTAGGGACAGCACTTGCTCTCTTGGTTCTTAGCACTAGGCGATGATTAACAAATAATGAAGGGTTCGTGGGATGATTACATGAATTATCCCCACAGAAGCCGTCCCCTAAAGAGTCAATATCGTCACAGCAGCATTCATACTTCATTGTGTGTACCATATTAGCATTCTATCATGCTGTTTGTACGATTCATCTAGCAGACTCAATAGGTGAATACTCTGACGTGTTAATATTGGCACAGTTATGCTCGTGGGCTAGCTATTTACAAAGTGCAAATAAATGCCCATTGTTCATTTGCACTATGTCGTGTTCTCTGTTCATTGTGCCAAGATCAAGCGAGATACATTCTACATTTTAGACCCCCCCCCCCCCCCATCATAAAAAAGAATACAAAATACCATGATGAAAGACTTAATTTGTGTTAAGAGCTGGAAAAACCTCAGTAAACAGGAAATCTAGTTATTTTCTAAGTATGGCACTTTCAGCTAAGAAAACTGCAACAGGAATGACAGTTCCTAAAGAGACGAGCTGTTTCAAATGGCAGACCGAAGAGCAATAAACCTTTCCTCTGTGATATTTCAAGTGTCCCTCTTAATTTAGGTCTTCTTTTGGTGGCACATCAGCCTCATGAGACATTTTGATTAAAGCAGCAAGGTGTACGAACCGTGCCTCGGTGCAGGGCTATCTGGATCTTCTCAAGGTCGGAGACAGCACACCAGCACTCGGCTATGAGACATTTCTGTGTCACGTCCAAGTTGAATAGGTTCAGGGCGTGGTAGATGGCCTTGATCTTGCGGACCTTCACAAACCAGTTCTTGATGTTCTTGGCCGCAGCTGCTAACACTCTGTGACGATGGTCCTGTGTTTGGCCCAGAACCTGCAAGACACGAAAGTGGCACGAGCTATCTAGAAGGAAGTTTAACCATATGCTAAAGCAAAGGGCCAGACTATAGATGAAATCTATACACTGAAAATATTGTAAACAACAGACAGACAAATGTAATCTAAATGATTAAAAATATCCAAGCTAGTTAATAAGTTGTAATTTAGAACCCAAACCTAATTAAAGATCTATACATCTCAGAGGATGAAGATGATTGAGGTCACTGTCTTGTAAATCGGACATCTGGTGCCACCATTTTACGACATTTATATACTTGTATAGCTTTTACTATACAGTCACATTGATTATAATGCCACCGTTGTCATCATGTCATCCTGACCTACATGACCACGCTTAGTTGACAGCACACAGCCAATTTATCAGAACAGTTTTCAAGAAGTTTTGCATTTTTTTTCCTGGTAATGCCAATAGCTTACAGATTCACATTGCAAGATCTCGGATTCTGTGCAACTTGTGTTCTGTACAACTGAAATATTACTATAGAATAATCACTACATTTTCTTTTCAAGCGTTGTTTTACTACCATTTTTTTGCTTCTGCCTTACTTAATGCTCAGTGGACTTTAAGGCTATATAATGAATTAAATGAAGTACCACGGCTGCTGCGACATCATCAAATATGTTTTTGCACCAACAGTACCTTTAACCTGCAGAATAGCAGGCTTCGGCAATACGAACTATGGCGCTGTTCTAACGCCTGGCAATTTGCCCGCTTTGACGAACCATGGTTTAATAAACAGTTTGTACACCAATCCACCACACAATGTCAACTATGAAACTCTAGGAAAGAGCTCTAACACTCGAGTAAAGTATGCAAACTAGTAACTTCTTGTTTCCAAGCAGTGCAGATAACTTCCAAGTCGCTACTTGCTGGATGACAAGAATAGGAAAATTAATGTGTCATCTTTGCATAACTTATGCGCTACATCAAGCTATTAACTATTCGTGGTAAGCCATCCTATTTCATCGATCAATTGCTATGAAGTTTAGCATCAGAAATAGGAGTGAAAATGTTGTGAAAGTTGTAGTTTTTGATGGTTAAAAAAACACCTTGCCATCATAATTGGTGGCTGAGGAATATGCTCTACTCCTTGGCACGACTTCCAAGATAAACTTGCGCCTTAACATTCCAAATATGGTATGCCGAGTGGTACGTCATATTGAAAAATGGCAGCTGTATGCATTATGTTAGGTACTGTTTAGAGACTTGTAATAAAGATATGCAGGTACCGACTCCAAAGCTTTTCCAAGATTGCTCGCGCGATATATAATGCTCATTCATAGCAAAAGTGAAATTCTGCTGCATTATGTCATCATGTCAGAAGCACAGGAATCACAACATTCACACTGCCATGACAGCCATTAATTAGGCATGACCCTTCGAAGCACACAACCCATTTGTCAAGTACCACCTATAAGTGATGACTAAAGAATCATTGTAGTTTTGTTTTACACTAGCAGTTGTATTAACTGCTAGTGTAAAACAAAACTACAATGATTCCTTAGTCAACCTTGCTAGTGTCTACATACTGTGTTGAGGTCTTCAATGCGGGATATCACGCCAATGGACATCTCCCGCCTGTCTGCCGGGGTCTCAGGGCATGGATAAAGTGTAGCACGGAACCTGCAAGGTTGTTGCAAGCGTGGTGAAAGTGAATACAGAGCGACTAGGTGATAAATAGTTGAATGATTAGATTGAATGATCAGATTTATTGATTGCAATTTGTTCAGAGAGCAAAGAAATGTTGCTTGTTGTGCCTACAAAACTAACTGTACATAGCTTTTTGCAATGTACCGTCAGCGAAATCTAGTTCAGCTGGGAAAGAAACCCACAACCATGCAACCTCTTGTTTAGCAGCAGAATGCCATGGATACTGAACGAAAAGAAGGAAAGAAAAGAGCTGATGAGAAAGCCCAGCAATCACAATGTAGTGGCCATATACACTGATTTTATGTCACCATGTGCTACAAATAAGGCTGTTTTCTCTACTCTTACTAGCAGTCAAGACAAAATTCACTTTCAAGCACCATGCTAGGAGCATTAAGCCCAGGAATATTACCATACTGTCCCACCATACTAAAGCTGAACTTCTGTATACCAGTAGAAATTTTCCTTAGACCCATCCTAAATACATGCACATTATGATGTTAAAGACATGACCGGTATCACACAGGTTTTAGTTGTAAGCGATACAGAAAGGAAAAGTTTGGCCATTTCGCACCCTTCACAAATCTTCTTGACTCGCGTCTTCAGCTGCTCCCCTTGGAAGAAGATAATGAAGACCGTCTTGTAGACTTGGTCACCCTGGAGCAGACGTAAATGTATGCTTAAGAAAAGTTCATACAAGAACATACCATAGGTGAAACTTAGCATCGGAATGTTTTGAACAACATTAGTGCGTGAAGCTCACTTGATTAAGCTCCTTTTAGAGCTTCATAACAGAAGGGTCCATGAAAAATCTGGTGCAGTTTTTTGTTAACTGACCTTGAGAGTGCACGTGGTCATTTGTTTTGTTTTTTTGCAGTAAAAAAACATTTAATTTTGGTAGAATGTGTAAGTTTTCTAGGTCAAATGCATCATGCCAGTCACACATTTATTCAAAGCAGTCGAATGATTTCTCATGCAAGTCCAAACACTTTTCAGGAAGTGCAATGCAATGTGTACAGCCACAAAACTTGCTATGGCCACTTTTTTCATAATGCACAACTACATTAGTTTTGAATCTTCTAAATACACTTATAAAGTAACAATCAGGTGCGAATTAAGACATTTCTAATAAACTAAACTGTAGCACTAACTTTTATTTAAAGAATTCACAAGGCTACTCAGAGCAGGCTTAAGCTCACTCAAATCCATGAATACTGATCACAGTAGCCACCAGCCACACTGACGGCTTTTTTTTAATAGTGATTTTGTTCAGGATCTTAAGCACTGGCTCAATAGCTCACACTTTCTGTTCTAAAATTCCCTCACGGGCAAGCTGGTACTACAGGTATGTGGAATACAACATCAATGCAGTGTGAACAGACAATATAAAGCAACAAGCAGCATAGTATTTGAGTCAATCTATGTATAAAAGGGCAAATTAAGAGCTGGCATAAAGAGCTTTCCACTCACGGTGACTGGGTCCTCCAGAGGGGTTTCGATGGCGGCCTGGCGGAGGAACACGTTCCCGCGGCACACGCGCCACAGCATGCGCTCGAAGGAAGGCAGCCGCTCCCGCAGCACCACACCGGCCACGAACCTGGCCAATTCAAGCACCACAACAATGAGAGGCATTTATGAGCACACGCACAATACCATACTCTGTCAACCAGAGCACATTTGATAAAGCAAGTCCTACAACACAAATTTTTTTTTCAGATCTGCTCTTAAGGCTATTTTCTCTGAAACAAGTTTTCATCTAAACTACACCCCAGCTATTCGTTGCGATAAATCAATTTTTTTTCACCATATATTCAAGTTGTATTGCTCCAAATGTCCTGTTGTGACTATGAAGGAACACACCACACTTATAGAGTTATACAACTGATGGACCACTGGCCACTGATAACTTCTATCACAATGTTTGCAAATATGAAGAGAGTTTACCTTCCTTCCTAAAAAATGCATAATCTGGCTCCCCACAGTCCCACAACTCTGACAAGAAGTGGCTTTGGTCTTCCCTTTGTACTGTACAGACTGCAAGTTCGATTTCATTCTTGTATGCAACAATATCTTCATATTTGCAGATAAGTAAGCTACCAGAAAACTAAATGCATGAACATAAACCTGCACTATTTATTGTTATTCTGCCCATAAGTATACAACAAACGTAAAAAAAAATCCGAGTATACCGTCTCGAGTAAAAGAATAATTTTTTGTAGCAGAAGAATCTCCTTTATACTATCTGACAAAAAAAAAACAAAAAAACAGGGGCACAGGGCTGCCATGGTGGGAGTGGTTCTACGTACATCTGGCAGTAGATTTAGTTTTGATTCAATACAATCTGCCCCAGATTTTAAATTTAAGAAGAAATAGTAAGAAGAAAGGGACCTAGAATATAAATCCACAGATACGTGCCATTGTAGTGCATTAACCATTGAGTGAGTTGGCAAGATCTATTCACACAAGATAGCTCAAAAACTATCCAGTACCACGCTGCTAACTTGGCACCTTAACTTGGCACATTTCGAAGTTATGCACACATTTGTTGAACACGTTTGATTGATTTGTGGGGTTTAACGTCCCAAAACCACCATTTGATTATGAGAGATGCCGTAGTGGAGGGCTCCGGAAATTTTGACCACCTGGGGTTCTTTAACGTGCACCCAAATCTGAGTACATGGGCCTACAACATTTCCGCCTCCATCGGAAATGCAGCCGCTGCAGCCGGGAGTCGAACCCGCGACCTGCGGGTCAGCAGCCGAGTGCCTTAGCCACTAGACCACCACGGCGGGGCTGTTGAACACGTTTCACTCACTAACTAGTGAGAAAACAACAGACAAAACAATACAACAGTACAAGTGAAAATGAAGAGTTAAATGCAAGAAGTATTGCTGACCCTGTCGCTACCATATAAAAATAAATTGTACCAAATTTACTGAACGTTTCTTGCTCAATTTGTAGAGCTTTTTCTTCTGAATAAAACTGTACCGTCTCTTCAGTTTCAACCGGAACTGGGTTCCCTTACTATCACTTATTGCATAAGAAAGATAACTGGAAGATAACTCCAAACAACAAACCATTCGTCCATAGTTGTCATATATACTTTTCATTTGTTCAAGAAAGCGCACTTTCAGGTTCCCACCCCTAAGAATGGCAAAAAATTTGTCATTTAATACAATGACATTTATTTAACTAAACAGCATAACATTTCACATTGCACTGCGAAATGATGAAGGGGAAACATCTGCACAATATGTGCCTAAAAATAATAGGTACCATTTATTTTTATTTAATGATACTTCTTTAATAGATTTCGTAGTTATTTGAAATATTAGAATTTTGTTTACATTAGCAACAGATAGACGTTATCCACATTCGTGATTCATGCCTTGCAAATATGGTATTCAGTGCAAAAACGTACTCCAGCATTCAGCAGTCAATCAGTATGAACAATCGTGCTAAAAAGATAATCCAACAGCATTGAACGTGCAAGTGATGCATTGTATTCTTCTTATGTGCAAATTTTCTTGTATTCAGTAGGCAAAAATACCCCAATAAACCCTAAACTGATTAAATTGCTAAATTCTTATTGTTTTGAAGACCTAATATATCCACACAGCAGCGACTTTATGATGCTACCCAAGATGAAGTTGATGACACGTCTTCTGAAGCTACGGGGATAACAGCGATACTGATGGGGGCCAACTTTAGTACTGTCAAGGTTTTTACTATTGCGGCCTGCAGCACGCAAGAACCAGTCTTATTCAAATGAGGTAGTGTGGTATCCAGAACAAGCAATGTGAAATGTGGTGCTAAGCATACCACAGGCAGGAGGACTGAATATTAAGACATCTGAAAGACGTCAGCACTCAGTGAACGAGATTGGAATAAACTTACGAACAAGCACTAGTAGAGAAAGAGTACGTTCACAAAACTGGCCATTAAGAATCCAATTTTGAAACGGCTAGAAAAGCCAATAGCACAGCAATAAGCTTACCTGTTAAGGCTAAATATGCAAAGTTCAAGGCAGTGCTATCAACTCTAGTGCAGCCGATGCTAATACTATGAGCAGATTAAGCTATAATCATACACAAAGTTGGTGATGTGACTCGAAATGAATTATTCACGAGCAATGCCCTGGAAAGAAGGCATACGCTTTGTTGACGCTTCCCTATCATCGTTGTACCAATGTTCGTGCAAGTAGTTGACAATTTACACACTTGGAAGTCTAGTCTGATGTATAAACTGAATCATGATACTTGAGAAAGAAAAAGTGCATCGTCTAGCATAATACCCTCTCACAAAAAAAAAAAAAAAGATTGCATAAAAGAGGACTTCCTTTTTACCTATAATAATTGCCATCTAGCTTGCCTGCATTTCTTTTTCTGGGAACTCAGCGCTTGCCATGCACACAATTTTTGACCTCAAAGCACCAAGCGTGCAGTGATAATGCAAGGAAAGGCCCGTGATACTGATTATTATCGAGAGACAAAAATACACTTTTCTACTTGCTCTCCCTTCAGATATTAGGACGCTCTAGATTAATTGTAACCACCTGCGAATGATTCAAACTGACATAAACAGTAGAAACTCGTTAATTTGAATTTAACAGGACCAGAAACACCTTGCAAATTAACCTAATGCCAATTATAAGAAACATAAAGACAACAATAAATAAATCACTCATCATGCACTCATTTTCTTGAGGAATATGCAAACACAGAAATTATCTTGCATAAGAGAAGTGCTAAAACTGTAATTTTTGTTATTCCTGATTTCGTTCACAATGTGAATGTTGGTGAAAACACCAATGTCTTAATTTGAAACATGCTCTAAAAACTCAATACCTTTTCTGTACTAACAACGCGATTACAAATGGCAACAATGCCTTTCTGAAAGCCCAGGGCCGTTTCGGCTGTCCGTGAACGCTGTTTTCATTTGTTTGCGTTGCACAACTGCACCACTTCGTGCTTGGAATGCTCAGACTATGATCCGAATTAACCATTAATGAGAGAATAAATAAATCTGATGCGATTAAACCATGAGTATGCTGGCTGGTACCACAAAACTTGCAATACATTTAGGAAAAGGTTATATGGCCCTGTTAACCCTGAACTCCATATTCAGGTAGAGATGAGAACCTCTGCAAGACCATGGTGAACATGTTGACAGGAAAATCGGTGTAAAAAATAGGAAGAACCGACAGGATGAGTTGCCTCAGTACTATTCGTTGCAATCCTCAAAGATTGCAACAATTACTCCAGTCTGTTCTGTCTGCTCATTTACGTCAAATTCTAGCAAGGCTCTAAGAGGCTTCTGTGGTAGAGACAAGTAAACCAGACACAACCACTTCAGATCTAGTAAGCAATGCCAAGATAAAACTCGGCACTCGCAAGTAGAGTGCTGTACATTCAGGCCCAGCACTACTGCATATAATGGCGGAAGAAAGAGCCTGTTGCTCTGCCTCGCCTTTTCTCAGCTGTGTCCCACATGCAATGTGACAAAAGCGTCGGCGTCAGCTCACCCGAGCCTGAGGGCCTGTCCGCCAGCCCTGAGGCCCTCGTCTCCCAGCAGCATGACGTGCTCTTCCTGGGTGCTCTGGTCGTGCATCTGTGCACGGTGATGAAATTCCACCTAGTGTGACAAACGCACTTGCATTGTACGCACAAGCCTGCTCTTCTGTACTCTTGGCTCATAAAAGGAATAGGGAGGTCTAGGTGGGGGAGAGGAGCATTGAGGGAAAGGGTACTAACAGGGAAGGAAAATGCTGCAAATCAAAGGATTGCCCATTCTTTATCATCTTACCCTCACCGAGCGAAGTGTGAAGAGTCCTAGCATGTCCAAAGAGTAGTACAACTGCAGCCAGCTTTTCATTTGCCAATAAATTCCAGCACACAGGCATTTATGCTCCTACCACTGTCTCAATATGGCCACAGCGGCATAACACCTCGTGTTCAAAAACGCTTTATATTGTAATGCAAATGGGTTGTCTAAGCTAACAATAGCCTTTACACATAGCTATATTATAGATATGCCAGCTGCTGTAGAAAAAAAAACCAGAAAATTGCACAGTACAGTTAATTTATTGGTCACTCTCCTACTGTAAGGAATGTTCATCTTAGAATGATGTTCAGCTGCCACAGCTGAGCAAACATGACATTTCGGACTTTGTAGAAACATAGTGCAAAAAATATTAAGAGCAGATAAGATCAGTTACAACACTTTGACAATCGCAACACTTCCTCTAGTCCGCTCAGCCTATTCATTGCCGTGCTTATATTTTAAAAGAACATTTTAAAAGAATCACATTAAAAAGGGGCCCTGCAACACTTTTTCAAGTAGCCATAAAACGGATTCACTCAAAAAGCTTATGACCTCACAAATTTTACACTGCAAAAATATTTAGAATCCGTCCTGTACGAGCAGAGTTACAAATATTTGTCGCATGCTGCAATCACATTCTCGTTTCTCTTGTACTGACGAAAATGCTGAAAGCTAAGCAGGAAGGGATGGCAGAGGCAAAGAAAAGATGTCACGTGAGCCTTGTGACCTTGAAAACTTCCTTTTTTTTTTTTGTCGAATTTGCAGATTTTTCAGAGCGATCGCACGCAGACGCTTGGACAAGTCGTGGCCTCCCGCAGTGATCCCTGCAACGACTGAGCGCGCCATGTAGCTGATAGAACAGCTATGAAAAATGATTTTTGAGTTTCTTCTCTCATTTGTCAAGAGAAGAAAAAGCAATTTTTAAGTGACTTAATGAATTTATTGTGAATTCCAGGCCCAAGCTGCGATATATTATTTGGCTCGCAGTTCTCCAAAGTCTCTTCTGAGTGGCAGCGTTTTCTGAGCATGCTCATAAAGTGTTGCACGGCCCTTTAATTAAAAGGACCAGCCAGCCAAAAACAAGTTCTTTTGTAAGTTACACACATTGAAGTGAATTTTCAAAACATTATATTACCAGCTTCCATTGCCTCTTACAGTTATTGGACATAGTGCTCTTACACCAAGGTTTGCCTGTAGTTAGGAAAACCAGCATTCAGCATATACATAATTAGAACTTTATGGTAGAGTGTTCAACCATCAATGCAAAAGCAGAGGCATACCAGCAAAGATTCTATAATGGTACCAACCTGGCCAAACGAGAGATCATGACTCAAGTTTTTATCTTGCTTTTGCTTTCATTGAGCTTGTTGAACTGGACATTTATTACCACACATATGAGGCAGTTTACCTAACTTAGAGTTTTACTATGGCTGCTTCAGTGTTTTCAAATGACTTTGTTACCCTTGCAAGAATACCATCCTATTTGCCGCAATACCTTCATATCGTTTCGTGTAATATGCAAGCGCAAGTTAATCAATTATTAAGAGAATGCTCAACAATAAGACCTACAGCAATCTCCTCCAATAAAGCCCTATCAACAACTTGTGCCGATTGCAGCAAAGTGTGCAGTCTGAAACAGTTCAAAGGTGAACACAAGACTGTATTTCACTCGTCTGATCCCACAGGTAGTTATGCTCATCAATGTTCTAATGCTACGCATGGACAATTTCACCAAAAATATGAAACCCACTTCATGTGAAATGTCACGCTAAAATGAAATGACAAAGCTAAAACACATTATAGAAGCCTACTTGCAGTGCTGGCTTGACAATTATGCAAAATACTGACTGGGGCATTTCGCAGAGCCAGCACATGCCAACACGAACCACTCCCTTTAAGATCAACTCTTGATAATGAAGGAGGAGGAATAAAATGAAGACAGGCAAACTAGAGTGCAAGCCATGAAAACGTAGCCATGGATGCATCACGCCTCATGAAAAGTGATATGTGAACATGGATTCAAAAGTGTAAACTCATGCAAGCATGCTGAAGTATGTGCCCTGTGAACCCTGCGTGCTACCACAAATACAATAGACTCTCGGTAAACGGGAATTTGTTAAATGGAACTACTGCTCCTCGTTGTAGAGGCAACGAAACCGTTGCCTCTACAACGCTTGGTTTTGGGATTGTATTCTGCCCCTACGTTTGTCTCTCAGTAAACGGAACTCCTGTTAAATGGAACATATTTTTTCTGGTCCCTTCAGGTTCTATTTACTAAGAGTCTACTAAAGATATGAATGAACAGATGGCAAAACACTCTCGGGAAAACTGCTTAATAGCATCAAAGATTCTTTCTTGCCTTCTGCAACAGATTACAGCTTATAAAGGATAAATAACACTGCTGTGTTCATTAGACCTACAAAGGCTATTATCCCAAAGCAGGAGGGTTGCCTGATAATGAAACATTACTTGCAAGTACTTCTTGAAAAATACTTAATAAAATTGGGAGATAGGAGTATTGTCTGGGAGATAGAAGCAATGTCACGACATAGCATTGAAACAGGTGCTTTTTTTTTTCAACTAATGTAACAGTATGTAGGATCGTAGATAATATGAATGTCTTTTCCTAGTACTTTTCAGAAATTATTTTATTTGGCAGTACAAGGTAAACGACAAAATTAGTTATACTGGCGAGTAGAAACCCATAAATGTTTACATTTGATGGTTCATTTTAGTAGATGCACATGTTACCGAAGGACGCTGTACCAGTAAGTTACACTGAAGTACCAGCGTGAAACCGAAATTCAGTGAAAGGAAGGTAAATTGGTGCAGTGGAGCACGAACTGTCAATAACCTGGTTAGGGCAGTTATAAAATTTTATCTTTTAACTGAACAAAGGCTCGCACACAGACACAGACACTAGAACAGGAAATTGCACAGACCAAGAGCGCCTACTCTCAACTTTTAGTAGCGAGTAGGCGCTCTTGGTCTGTGCAATTTTTTGTTCTAGTGTCCGTGTCTGTGTGCGTGCTCTTATTGAGTTAAAAGATAAACCAAGACCAACTAGCCCAATTATCCATGCGACTACAATAAAATGTTAGGCTTATAGAACAACCAGGAAAAGTGTCATAGGTAAGAAATGTAGAGCAAACAAACTGATAAAGTAATAAATTTCAAGAAAAAATGGAGGGGCACATCAAGGCCCGACATTGGCTTTAGTTTTTTCAATCATGTTCTGGCCCGCAATATCAATGCAAGAGTGCCAAATCACCACCACAGGTGCAAATAAGGGCATATGCAGACAAATACGATAGCACGAGCACCATTACAAGGACAGCACAACTTGCTAGGTCATTGACAGTGCTTATCATATTTCCATCATCTGTGTCTTAATGTGAGGTTGCAACCCTGCACTCCCACAAAAAGACTCGGTGCCTTTGTGAAGCACAGTCATCCACTGTAGCACAAACTGTGCCACAATAAATGACTTCTCCACTTTTAAACTGGAAAGATCCACGTGTGATAAGAGCACATCATGCATGCACACATTATAACAAAAAGAAGATAAAAACTTACGCAAGCATGGCACCTAGATTGTGCCAAGTAAAACTAACTATGCCACATGCAGGGTTTTGAGCCTGTTAAAAAGAGCGCAGTTGTTGTTTCAGGACTGAACATCACCTCGTCTCCTAGTCTTGTGCAAGGAAGGAGCATCAGTAGTAAGAATCAGAGGGTTGCACCAGGCAACAATTCTGAGAGCCTAAACTGATCACAGAACAGCACAAATGTAGCATGTGAGGTGAACACATGGCAAAAAGAGAAGTTTTATATTGAGGAATATAGATCCGTAACAGAACGAACTGCACACACCAAAACCAGGATTATTGACACGATATTGAAGCTGACCTTAAGATGTGCTACATCAACTAACATGAATGTGCTTATAGCTATGTTTTTCAGTGTGCATGTTGTCCTACATCTGTCACAATGCAATCAGACTTGCACAGCAAAGACCTCTATGCGGTGCAATTTACTGGTTACAATACATTACCCAGATCTGCCATGGAGCATGCCAGCCAACAATGCAATTTTTACAACTACAATGCACAGGAAAAACATGCTACCTCCATCCTCTCCCCCACCCTTTCTGTTGGGAATTCAATTTTTGGCAAGCAAGCATAAAGATTGTGAACAGCGTCAAAGGGGTTCTCAAAACGCAGAGCACCAGAGACAGAAGAGCAGGTTAGTTGCAAGCAAAGCAAGAAAGTGAGAAGACGGTGAAACCATCATAACAAAGCACCAAGAGAAAGATCACTGTGCAAGAAGAGGCAGGAGAAATTTCAGTTTCTCAATGTTTCAAGCAAACACAGTCACGTGAGCAAGCAGCAACTTTAAAAATAACTTCATGTGCATTAAAACAATGCCTCTGTTTTCCCCATTTTCATACAACAGACTGTGTAAGATGTACTGCTTTGATAAATAAATAATTTGCATTAGTGACAAAAAAAATGCAGAAAAAGAGAGGCACACAGCACTTTCTCCTGCAGTGGCCAGAGCAAAAGGCACTCCCTAATTGTGACAAGGATTACAGTTGTGCCCATATTTAAAAATTTGGTAAAAGTATGCCACTCGGCTACAGTTGCTGCATGCTTCACAAGTTCACCACAAGAAATGAAAGACTGTAGAGAAAGATGGAAATTAACGTAATTGGTCATGTCTTTGCTGAATGCACAATCAACTTCATGCTTCAAGCTGTCAGTTTCACATGTGGATTTCCTTAAGTATAAGCGCCCCAAATGGCTCCTGACATCAGCAACCAATAAAGGTTCTCGTACTGCAAGTATTGCTTGTCTGTATATGTTCGAAACCCAATCCCACTAAAAGGCTACAAAAGAATGACCCTGTTCTCTTTGCTTTTGCCATTAGAAGTCAGCGTTAGTTAAAAACATAGTGGCAGGGTTACCCTGCAGATCTGCTTTCATGCTTTTTTTAAATAATGAACCTCAGAATTGTAATTATAAACTTTCATTAAGGCAGATACAAGTCTAGTGCGGTTCAATGCACATATTTCAAGTATGAGGTCACCGCTTTGCATGCAAATTAGGTCATTAAATTAATATATTCCCAGTAGAGGAAAACTCTGTATATAAGAGGTCTGAGTGCAATACTTATATAAGTGGTAACAGATTTTAAAGAAGATAATTGCACTCTTTACATGTTTAGGAACATGTGGGCAAAATTTCATCGCAATCTGGTCATCATAGGTATTAAAAATATGATGTCCTACTCGAGAATCTGCCCAAAATTTCATCTTGAGAAAAACTTATTTTTTACGTATTTATGAACGGTTGGTTACCTAGGTGGCGAAAATACGCTTTTCAAAATAATTTCTTCCATCACGAGAGCTTGGGAATCATGGTTATTTTGAGCACATGGCTTGAGTGAACTTCTCATGCGAAATGCAATGGTGAGCGGCCAGCAGACAATTTCCAGGGGACTCTAGACAAGGAGCTATTCTTAGTTCTTAATAGCCACCTGGTGCTCTTTAAAAGCGATTGTAACCTATTTGGAGTTTAAGTACAACCTTGATGTTTCCTGTCACGAAAGTATAAAAACTGAGCTTGTGAAAGCAAGTAAAAAAAAAAAATATGTGATTTCAGAAAAATGTTGCGTTTTCTGAGTAGCACTTCCCTTAATTCTTTCTTTACAATTAAACACTAGGTACCATTATGTAGACAATGAATATCAGAACAACTCTGCTACAAATTTACAATAAAGCTACAATATGTCAAAAATAAAATGATGCTCCAAAGCAAGGCTGGCATGGCAAATTAAATTTTAAGATTTTAAAACTGCTTTTTGTGAGATACTTTTGAGTGTTTGAAGACCAATGTCTACCTTAAGAAATAATTCAAATATAAAGTCACATGATCAACTTATCAAGTCTGAGATAAGAGCTTGATCATGCTAATTAAATATTTTTCTTTACAAGATGATAAGCTGCAGTGACTTAACCAATCTGCTTGCCAATTGACATAATTCTCAGGTCAAGCATTATTAAGAAAATACACTGTGCAAATACGTTACATAATAGTTGAATGGCCACAGCAGAAAGATCTCGGCTTTGGCTTAATTTTGTTGTTCTCACTATTGCTTTTCTTTCGCTTATGAAAACATGCACATGGAAACAAAGACAGCACCAGGACAAGACTGGATTGGGAAAAATTTCCAGCTACCTCTACTGAAGATATCTTTAAAACAACAAGAAAAAGAAACTCCAGAATAAATTTGTCAGAAATATGTGTAGCATTCAAGAAAATATGCACATTTTTCATCATTCATACATGGTTATATAAACATTAAAGAAAAGAAAGGAAATGCAAGATCTGTAACATCACAATGGCCTGTTTCCCCAGCTCGAACGCGCTGCAACAAGCTGAACATCAGCCAGTGTTTTACTTCTTCTCCAGCTGTTCTTATGCAAGAAACCGAGTACGCCGTAGTGCATGAATGCCTCGACTTTTATGGCACTTTCTAGATCATTTTTACGAGGCAGTTGAAAGTAACATGAAGACCCACTTCACACAGCCTTAATAAAAGGCTTCAAAGCGATAAAATATTCTAGCAGCTGTTCATGATGGCTCGAAAGGCCCCTGCAGTGATAAACCTCAAGCGATCTTAGAGAATATTAACTTGCAACAAACCAGTTTTTTTCTAGACGAGAAAAGGAAAGATAAAATGTCCCGGAAAAAAGACCAAGGTAGGGATGCCATCTGTTCAACTGCTTCAGTTGTTCACTTGCAAGATTAAGTTATATAAAAAATATAGCTACTAACAACATTGTTTGTTTTATTAATGATAATTTACAGCATGATAAGATACTTTTATACCCGTTCACGTGGTACTTTACAATGTGAATAACTACAAAATACCTATCTATTTTCTTGTAACACCGCAACAACGCTGCACTATACTACTACTGTCACTAAATCTCTTCAGTATACTTCTAATTATTTGAACATTTTATTTCGAGGTTGCTTCCAATCCTAAGTACAGTATGAAAGTGCCACTATCATATTGCCACAGGACAAGCACACACATGTCTTTTACATGGAAGGATTGTGCACTAACAAACCATTTTGCTGGTGGTAAATCACTCCACACTAGCAAAAGCAACTTGCAGTCGAACTGCATCTTCTAGACATTTTGGTGTGCGCAACTTGCACATAAATTGTGCGTTGTTTATTGGTAAAACTGAGAGGAGCAGGCCACTGCTCAGCATCTCAAAGATGATTGATTGATATGTGGGGTTTAACGTCCCAAAACCACCATATCATTATGAGAGACACCGTAGTGGAGGGCTCCGGAATTTTGACCACCTGGGGTTCTTTAACATGCACCCAAATATACGAGCACACGGGCCTACATCATTTCGCCTCTACCGGAAATGCAGCCACCGCAGCCGGGATGCGATCCCTCGACTTGCGGGTCAGCAGTGAAGTACCTTAGCCACTAAACCACAGCGGCGGGGCAGCATCTCAAAGGGTGCTCATCCTATTGTTAAAGTGGCATTTTATTCTGCATTCTCAAGTCCCACAGCGATGCAGCAGAACTGCCTTACAGACTTGTATTAAACTCTTCCGGCATTTAATAAGGTTGGTGTGCCCACCAAGTCGCCAAATATCTAATAAAAAAATGTTTTGATCTCAAGACTCAAATAACGTTCCAACTACGATAGACATCAAGACGTGAATCTGCATTTTGCAGAAGCACTGCTGCAATGTGCTATATGCATTCGGACCCTACAGCATTTCAGCTTCTTTTGTACAAGTTCATTAGAAATGCATACGAGGCTCTATTTCAGTCAGCTGCAAGGATTGCCAACCAAACATTGCATACCTAGCTGGCACACACTAAAAAGACTGGAAGTTTTGAATGAAATCGCGCTGCACTCCGTTTCGCTGGGTACATTCCTTTGCACATTTCGGTCGTTTATGTCAAATCACAGGCTTAAGACAAGTGCCGATTGTTTTCAAATGAGTTTTAAAGATTTCCTCGAAACTCTCACCTGGCTTGCCAGAATTATTGGCAACACTGTCCATGAGGCGTGATGTTTCGCATGTCAACGGAAGTGATGCAGCCAATGGCATTGCTACTTCGGCTGCTACAGTGTTTATTGTGCTGGCCACAAGACGACGGCCTCGGTGTATGGCACTGGAAAGCTTTGTTCTTTCCTCTGTGGTGTTTGGCTGGTGCTTCGCTGGTCTGGCTTTCACAGTTTTCATACTATGTACCCGCGAGACTAGTATGCGACTTCCGGTTCCTACTAAATAGTGCCTGATATGTAGACAGTGTGCTCGGTTGGGTTTCGATATTGGTATTGTACCCTTTTGCTAATTAAATATTATTTTCTAATTTGCCGAGCATTTCAGCTATTTTACTTGTAATAAGAGTGCCTCAGGAGAACATAGAAACATTATTACCTTGATATGGTTGAAAAATCACCAGAATGCGGCCATAAAAGTTTCCCTTGCCAAGTTTCGCAGAGCATTTGCTGATCTGCAACACCTTATCACAGTTTCAACCTGTGGTATCCAGGTTTATGTACTATAATCCTTATGTTGCTAACTGGAGCATGTGACATAAAATGCAAAATAACTGCCGCTTGACATACAGGCATAATACCTTGTTGTTACACACACCTACATCTTTCATATTACACGCACTTCTTTCAGTCCCAAATTCAAGCTAGAGAAACCTCTCCACACTTTGTAGTGTTGCTAGCAGAGTATGGCATGCAGTACAAAACAAAAAGAGATCAAACTGCAAGAATATTATGCTCGGAGATCATGTCAGGGAAGCCACGTACCTCATCAAAGAAGGCCTGAGTTTTACGCAGAATGTGCTTCAGCTCAGTGAGCTCGAGGTAGGTCTTCTTCAGAGCCTCGGCATTGGTGTTTACCTCTTTCATTTCATTCTCAAGTTTCTCAAATGTGGCCTGCATAATGACAGCAAAAAAGGCGTTAAGCCGCACGAGCAAATTAGATACCACATTTCTCAGCACTGATCCATTTTTTGTAAGCATAGATATGAAAGCAGCGGTGAAAACTATTTGTACATGCAACGAAACTCGGAACGTAGTGCTACCTGCTTTGGCTATTATGGTTAGTAAAATTAGTAAAATCAATTGTAGTGTGATGCTGCTTTGTGGCTTTCACAAACATTACAATGCGTAACAAGTTATTATTATTAATACATGAAGATGCACGCATGAAAAGGGTGTTCTGAAACAAATTGATGCAGTTCTCTTAGGCTTTGTAGTTTAACACTACACTTGTAATTGCCAGGTTATCATCATAAGTGCTACATAGTTTTCTGGAAATTAAAATTGTGAATATCCAGTACAAGAACTTAGTAAAGTGAAATAGTTTGCGGGACTATGGACAGTTTTTAAATAGAAGTTCGGGCTTTGAGAAGAGAGCCAAAAGTTCCACACCATTTCTTATTCTTGCACTAGCTTCTGATTATCAGCACAACATTAATTTGGGCAAGGAGCACTAAGACAATGATATATATGGCAAACTCAATTTCAGGCAGATTTATAAAATAGAGCTTTACATTGCTGGGCAAGGAAACATGTGCATAAGCACATCTGCTGCAGTGAGAAAAAAATAAATTCTTTAGTGGCAACAAGTATTTTCATGACCATTTCCTTACATGCACCCGAGGATTATCAGAGGTAGTTTGTTTTTTATGAGAAGAACATTTAGTAGTTAGCGATACCTCCAGCAGTCTTCTCTTACCAAATGTATGCTGCATTTTCAGCAGGTTATTTACAAATTTTTAGCATGCCATAATTTCAGTGAAATTGTATAGTTAAGAAATTAAGCACCACAAACATTTCTCACAAGTTTTTTAAAGCGACCCCTGAAAGCAACAATATGTAGCTCTGAGTTCGATAATTTCGAAGTTGAACAGTAAATGCTTTAAGGTATCACATAGTTGGTATAATAGACAATTATGGACAGTGTTTTTAAATAAAAATTTGGGCTTTGAGATGAGAAGCAAAAGTTCAACACCATTTCTTATTCTTTCACTAGCTTCTGATTATCAGCACATCATTAATTTGGCCAAGCAGCACCCCCTTAGATCTTAAATTAGTGCCCTACTGCAGCAGAGCACCATAAGATTATGTGCACTCAAGCTTTGGTGATGAAAAAGCAGTTTTACAGCAAAAGCTGCTATGAGACCAAAACTCTGGTCACGCGCGGCGCTATCACCGCCGTTGGTTTCCGTAACCACTATAGTGAAATAAGGAAAAAAAAAAAAAAAAGAAGAACCTAGTACTAAGGACACAGTGGGGTCCGCTGCGTGCCAGCCCAGTATTCTACCACTGAGCCACGCCGGAGCTTGGGACTTGTTCACAAACTTGCCTTAAGCAGGCTTGCTGTCAGGAAAGGAATTGCATTAATATAAGTAATAAAGAGTTTTAAAACAGCAAAAAAACAATGAGGCATTATACAATGCGAATAGCGTAACGAGTGGGTCATCCAATGCTCCAACCCTTTACAAAAGCTTGTTTTTGATCACCTATAAAAGTGACGCATGCAGACTTAAGCCATAATTCCTCATCATCATCAGCCACTGCATGAACAATTAGCACAAAATTCCTTGCAAGTGTTTAGCGGATACAACGCTTCTCAGAATGACGAAAAATAGTATAGCGAATGCTGGTGTACTACCCATAAATTGTTATTATTAATTCCAAAGTGGGTACCCAGCAAGCACACTTGTAGCAGTTACCCAATGAGTGTTTAGAAAGGCTCTGAAAGGCCACTCTTCTAGCTTTTGCTGCAACTGTGCTGTGGCTTTCGCGCAGGCCTGGAGTTTTTTAAGTGGGCCCTGTGTGCAAGAAATAAATGATATGTGTACTGCACTGTCAGTTAAGGTGTGACACACCGTGCGTGTGCTCCTGCTGAAATTTGCCGACGTTTCTGTAGCACAACAAGCATGCGGACAAAGGCAAGTGCTATCAAGCTTTGTGCTGGGCCATTTTAACAAAAATGGAGAACCGAGTAGCCCAAACCGCAATTCTGTGTACAATGAAATGACACACACCACATGCCTGTCCGATCATGCGCCACTTTTAATATGCCCCGACTTACTTGACAGCAAACCCTGCTCTTCCAATGGATAAACCGAATTTGCAAAGCTAGAGCTCTAGTAAGATTCTATTCTCCAGTTAAAACTGCTGCCTTTCACTGTGTTCAATCTATTTGTTCTTTTCATTTGCAAGATAAGTATAGTTTCTAGCCATTTTTCGAAATCCTGGTCCCACAATATGCTAAACCGATTTATGCAGCAGCACGAAACAGCTTCACACAAATCACGAAAATAAATGTTTATCACTAACCTCCAAGTCGATCATCTCTCGGGGTTGTGGCGCCTCTGGGTTGTCGCCGATGTCCAGCATGTGGATGCCATCCTTTTTTATTTCCTTCTCCAGAAATCCTGGATGTGATATGCATGACCAAAAATTATTACTAACACAGCTGGCAGCACACCATTTCATCCCCTGAAAGTTTGAGGTTTATTCGCACAAAATAAGCGTAAGCGCGCGTAGGGTTATACTTTCGTCGGTTCGTCACAGCACCCCCCCCCCCCTCCCCGCCTTCCGTGCGAACATCTATGTAAATAAGTACAAATTGATTGTAAACACCGTGTATGCAGACAAACAAAAAAGACGCATCCGCTGCACTCGACTGCTTAGGGCAGGAAAGTGTCGCCCGAAAAGTAGCCGCCTTACTGTGAACTTCAAATATAAGTACACGGGTGTTTTTGCACTTGGGACTCCCGCGGACGGTTACCGAATCTGCGTCTCATCAGCGAACCGACAGTTTGAAAATGGCGCGTAAACGGTGCGCAGCAAACATGCATATGGAAAATAGAACCGAGATGGATGGAACGACCCCGGGTTCAAGTTCACTCACGTAGTTTCCGCTCCATTTCATCGCAGCGACGAACCTCGTTGACGAACTTTCGTTGGAAAACGTTGACGTCAGGGTTGAGCTAGAAGACACGGAAAATCAGGCAGCGCGGAAAACGGTAACGTAAGTACTAGTACGGCGGCATTTTGCTAAGTCACGCAGCGCCGGGTGGAAGCAGAGGAAAGAAATAATACTTACATCTCGGAACTGGACCAAGCCCAACTCTCCTAGCTCGGACACGCAGCCGTAAGCTGCTTCGGACTGAAGGAACAGTTGGCAAAGAGTCATCTCCTCGCTACGTAATAGGCCGCCCATCTTCACAGCTACTGGAAGAACCTAACTGCCGAAGCCGATATATCACCAGACGTCCAGCCTAACGCGGGGCAGTCGACGAGATCGTTCGAACGTCCAACTGCCGGGGCCTTCCTTTGCAGCTGCAGCACGGGCTGCACCATGCACGTAACTTGCGGATCTCGCGCGCACGAACCAACTGGTCACGTGGCGAAGCCGTCGTAACTAGACCGGCTGGGTCTACTTACTTTTTCTTCACTATGTGGGCGCCGACCATACGATGGCGATAGTTATAGCGCGAGAACAGAACGACGACAGAGACAAGGACACTTATCTGACGTCGTTCTATCCTCGCGCTGTAACTATCGTCACGTCATACCAACTAGCCCAAGCTGCCACACTTCTAACTAGCATTTGCAAAAGCCTTGATCTTTGTAAGCCTGTAAGTAACGCTTTGGAGTGGGCAACTGATGACTAGCTATCTGTACGACGTTCAGGAAGGGCGCGAAACGCACGCAGTTGCGAGCACATGTACTTGAGAAAAAAAGCGTGCAGCCTTGAAAGACATAGAAGTGTGTAGCTTGGGCTAGTTGGTATGGCATGATATATTGGTATGGATAGTTATAGCGCGAGAACAAAACGACGACACACAGCTCGTGTATATTGTGTCCTTGTCTCTGTGTCGTCGTTTTGTTCTCGCGCTATAACTATCGTCTCGAAAGACAAGACCGCTTGTTAGAATGATAGCTCCTGCAACACCAAGTGGTTCTGAATTTATCATTTTTCCACGATTCCGTTTCTTCCTCACATCCACGAGCATTATTGCCACGAGTCGGCAGCGCACAAACCAGCAGCGACGGTCATTACGAATTACAAGTGCCACCATGCATTGTAAAAAGTTTCTGCTGCAACACTTCGAGAGGACGAGGAAACGCAACTACTCAGGTACTGCGTTGGCTCGCGAAATGAGTTTAGTGAAGTTCCCTGCAACCCAAAGCGTTCCACAAAATAGGTTCAATCACCATTCTCAGATCCCCCCTGGCGCTGCACATATACCCAGCACTTGCTACAGAGCTGTTCATATTAGAATCGCATGCACCAATACCGCGCGCACTCATCGGCACAGAGTACTTGATGCACACAGCACACCTGGAGATTTCTGGAGCAAGGCCAATTTAGCCACCCACTCTACCATCACTGCAGAGCAGGGTGCATCACTTACCTTTCACTATGGGCTTGCATGAAATGGATACCTTATTACACACCACAAAACAAGCTTTTATAAAAGATAAATTTTTTATTTTGGCAGGTCACACGTTATTCTGATCCCAATATTCTTAATGGATATGGTCTTCACTTGAGCCAATAAATGAATCTGAGGCCAATCACACTTTACAGCCATATTGCATATGTAAGAGGGATGAAGTGTCGTTAGAATTAGAAATCACCGGAACAATCTTGTCAAAACGTGCCACCAACAGAAAATGCAGGGGCCAAATTACAATCAGTTCTAAAACGACAATCATTCAAATCCCTTCACTTGACAAAGAAAAAAGTGCAAAAAATTTGTTTTGGCCTAGCGTTCCAAATCGGTAAAGTGTGCCCAGCAAGGAAGTGTGGAGCCTAGCTGTGGGCGACCCCGGGAGGCCAAATGACCCGAGGTTCTACAAACAAATTTGGACGTCCACAGAGATTCTGGGCAATGTGCGAATCAATGGAGGAACTTGCTGGTCACTGTTGCAAATGACATTCTGCGACTACGCTAGTTCCAAGCCGTGTTGTTCTACCAGAACACTCATTGCCCAGCGTCCACACTTCCTGCAGGCTACGGCACTTCTAGAGCATGCCTACGGCGCACTCTGTAAGAGAAAGTGAAGGAGGGAAAAGGGGGAAGGACAAAGAAATCTTGCGGAGGCAGTAATGATGAAAAGGGGGGTGGTGGAGTTTGAAAGGGGGTTGAAAAAGAGACAGGCAAGGATGTACGCCTGCACTAAACAAAGAAGCCCGGGGGTGGGGGGTGGATCAGGGGCAGTGATTTGGGAGTGTCGAAGCAGTCGCAGACAGGCAGGTGGTCACAACCACCATTGCAGCTGCATGCATGCATGAGGGCATCTTTGCGTTGCAACTGTGCACAATCCGAGAACTGCACAGAGTTTGCGTGTGAGCAACGTGGTACGACGTGTTGTGTGTAAGCCGGCCAAGACCTAGTCTGCCTGAAGTGTCGAGTCCAAAAACTTTGTTACAACAGACAAGGCGGCCAGCCAGTTGTGAACATATAATACAAATATACACTTTGTACAAGACCTAAAAGGGAAGATGCACTGCAGCTGCAATAGTGGGGTATGACGAGTTATGGGCCTGTTTCTGGCCTGTTTGGCTGCGCTTGCTTCAGTACCGGGAAGAGTTTTCCCAGCTCCAACAAAACAGGTTTCAACGAGGCATGCACAAACCTCAAACATTTACACTTTGTGGGCTGTCAAAATGTGCTCCACCATGCAAGGCACCTCCACAAACAGCCAACATGAACAGAAGAGTAATTGTTTAAGAGGAGAGGGAAGCTGGCAACTACACAACACAAACGAACGAAAAAAAGAAAAAAAAAAGATGTTCCTTGTTAGTACAGATGGCTTAGATTATATCAAAACGCCAGTCATAGTGCGCTGCCGGTCACAGCATTTGAAAATTTTGCATCACATTTCTGTTGCCAACAAACTCCAATCTTCCTGGGGGGCAAATAAAAAGCTTTTGCCTTTAGCCAATGCCACTTGTGAAAAATTTAACTAAACATGAGGGAAGGGGAAAGAAATATACCAGCTAAATGCATGGCCATTTACAAAATCCCTTAGTCCGCTCATTGAGAGTGCATAGGCCCTGCCTTATTCTTTCACTTGTAAAGTCCACACAGGTGTATAAAAGCTTGGAGTCCAAAACGCGCACTGCACATGACGAGGGCTTTCTCAGCACACTGTCCTCGTGTCGGGTCTTGTCTCGCTGGACCAGGCGTAGGAGGGACAGAGGCCTTCACCATTGCATCGTTGGCTCTGGCCAGCATCATGTCGAAACCTGAAGAGGTCTTGACAGTCTCAGGAGTGGCAATCATCGTTGTGCCATTGTAATGCGCTTCAAAGCCACAATATAGTCCTGTACAATGTCACGTGCAAAGCTGCACCACATGGCAGACTGGGGGGGGTGGGGGACTTGTTCTTGCAGACAAATTTACATACTTGAAAAAAAAAAAAAAATGCTTTCCTACTAAAATTTCTTGCTGGCTTTCCGAGTAGAATCATCTTCCCAGAAAACCACTCGATGGGTGAAAAAAAAAAAAAAAATGATGCGACGTTCCACTTCCAGGAGCAATAAATACTTGTTCACTTGCAGGCATTCAATGAACTTCATTTGCAGCAGCACGTTTTTTTAGTTTTTTTTCTTGCAGCACACACAATCATACACACATCCATGCACATTCTTCCTTCTGTACAGCACACAACAGTCTTCTGGAAGTGACGTACAAAATCTGAAAGGTGGAAAGGAATTGTTTAGACGAGATGTTCTAGGCACTACACGTGCAGCCTAACCAACTAGCAATTGAGCAAATGGCAGACAGCTGCTACAGCAGGTGTGTGCAAATAGTAGATCCCAATCTGAAGACCAAGTATGGCAGATCAAGTTAAAATGCAACCTAGCATTTTATCACTTATAACTTGCACTCTAAAATAAATGCCTGCTACAACTATTCAAATTTGTTTCGAAATATCGCTTCCCACCGTTTTCTCCGACTGCTTTGAACCAAAATCGGCAATCGCGCAGACCTAAACTTCCAGCCACGACTCCTGCTCCCAACCAAGCTGCTACAATCAACCAGAGACTTACTATGAGTTATGCTGATGACAAAAAATACACAATGATTGGCTCCTATTTGCTGGCATTTGCTTCTGCATCTTCCAGCTGCAGCTCTGCCACGTAGAGGTTCTTGTCGATGACCTACATGTTGAAGAGAAACCAAAACACTTATTACTGGTTGCGCACTTCAGGATTGTAACGGTATTGAGCGAAGTACAACATCAGAATCAATGCATCTTCAGACTACTTTCAGTAGCAGAACTGACTTATTAGCATTCATCATTCAGCGATATTGATAAGGCAAATGCGTACACATGAGTGGTGAGCAAGTGAGGCATCGAAATCCACAACAGCACCTCAGAAAACAAATGTTACATCCCTGTTACATTTCAACAAAGAGCCATGAAGTTGAAACTGAAAGCCTTGATTGACGAATAGCTTCCCTGGCTCTCATTCTTTGCACGTTAATTCTGAGCAACAGTGCAGATATTACTGACAGACTGAAGCGAACTGGGGATCTCAATGCTATTCACTAGCACATCTGGAAACCATGGGCCATTTGCGTGGTGCATTTACAGTCCTGAACAAATTGCAATTGCATGGCACAAAGGCAAGTTTTTTTTTTTTTTTTTCTGTGCACGCAGCTGCAATATTTTATGCCAACGGTGTACAACAGCTATATAGGGGCTTAGGAACAAAATTTTATGAGAGGGGGTGGTGCACCATTTTGATTTGAAGTGGAGGCCTGGCAAACAGATGTGCTTGAGTGTCATCTGGGCTTTGTATGCCATGGCAAGAAAAATTTGGGAAGGAGAGGAGCACAGGCCTGTGTGCCACCCCCTGGACACACCATCGCAGTTATATGAACCGAACGCGTTTTGCATCTGCCACATTTTCTCTTGCAAAACCCATGCCTGCGATAGGAAAAAAATGGACATTGCTGTAAAACTGCCCCCCCCCCCCCCCCCCCCAAGTAGAGCACAATTTAGCTTATAACCCGCATCCTAACTCCCATATTTTTGTACAATTTTGGGTCGGCCGTACAGAGGACGTACAGCAGCTGAACATGAATGTGCAGCTGTTGCTCAGTAGTGCAACAAAGCGACCTTAGGTGGACTGGCACAACCAACCTTGGGAATCGGCTTGATTTCAGTGCCCAGCTCTTGCTCAATGCGGTGCAGTGAGAAGCGGTCATCATAGGTGATCAGGTTGATGGCAATGCCAAGGTGGCCAAAGCGGCCGGATCGGCCAATACGGTGCAGATATGTCTCTGCCATCTTTGGGAAGTCAAAGTTGATCACCACGTTCACAGCCTGGATGTCTATGCCTCGCGTGAAAAGGTCTGCAGGGAAATGCACACAGCGGGGTTTCAGAGCAGAAATATGCACAGACTGCACTGAAGAAATCGTTAATGTAAATGAATGTGCAAATGAATGAAAATATTTTTTGCAAAATGGCACGTAGTGGCTCCACCGCTGAATTGAACAGGAAAGTGCGAGACACCCACTGGATACTAACACACAAACTACGCTTGCTGCAAAATTGCTTACCAATAGACATCGCAAACCACCACCACAACTGCCCAAGCAATGGTGGCTCCTGTACCCCAACCACCAACCTTTGGCACGTCCACAAAAAGTGGTCCCAACCAGCAGATGACTGGCAGCCACGAACACCATAGCCGCGATGTAGCTCTCCGCCATTCGTTTTCTCAAACGTAACTTGTGTCTACGTTTATGAATGTTCCTTTTGTGCTGTGTGCTGCAACGTAATGTATACCTTGCCAAGTTCAAGGATTCTGAATCCGGGAGATTGCCGCAATGAGGGAAGGGGGGAAGCGCGGCACACAAAAAACAAGGACATACTAAAAAAAAAAACAGCGAAAAACAAAAGGGGGTGGGAGGGGGGTCTCAACCACAAGCACGAACATCAGCGTTGCTGTCATAGTGAAAAACTACTCGTGTGTTTTGCCACTCCTAGCCACTAAGATGAGAGGCTTAAAGGATCAACACAACTAACAGAATCTGTTTCAGTTAAAACAACTCGCGTATGTCTTCCTGGGACACGCGTGAACGAACGGGACAGTGCAGCTGGCAGCCGCAAAAGCAGCAGCTCGGTCAAAGGTTTGCTCACTACAAGGTCAAAGCTTTGCTCACTACTAGATTCTTTTGACAGGAACGCCAAAACGCTTCCGGCCCCTTTTTATTGCGGTAGCAATTATGTGGACAGTCCAGGCTGTTTTTTCCGCTGGCACCACCACCACCGTCCTTCACTGTGTGTATATGTATGTATGTGTGTGTGTGTAAATATATATATATATATATATATATATATATATATATATGAACACTCAAAGAAAAAAAGCTGCCCGCACTCGTCGCCGAGCCCACACTTGCCGCCGATGTCAGACGTACTTTGCCTTATGGATGGATGCCTGTGCACACACGCTTATCCTTTGGTGGGGGAATTGTGTGCCTTCGGCTTTCACCGAAATGAAACGCAAGTTGCCGGCCCACAAAGGTAACTTATTGATTGATATGTGGGGTTTAACGTCCCAAAACCACCATATGATTATGAGAGACGCCGTAGTGGAGGGCTCCGGAAATTTCGACCACCTGGGGTTCTTTAACGTGCACCCAAATCCGAGTACACGGGCCTACAACATTTCCACAAAGGTCACACTTAGGTCTCTGCATAAGCCCCTTTTGCGAAAACAGCGCGCTTTTCATACACATCGAGGTATAACAACTGGGACACTTATCTATAGTTTGTACGCATCTGTACCTGTGATAACGTATCGTGCATCGTTTGTTTAAACAGCGCGTTACGTGTCGAGCAGTAAACGTTAGTTTGCTCTTGTCCTGCGAGTCATTTTCGTGCATCACTCGTGTGTGAGCAGTGCGCTGCACGCTTCGATCTGCTTGCCGTTCTCAGCGTTACATTTTAAGTTGCTGTCACATTTATCGTTTCGCCCTTGCGGTGAAACTGGAACTATTTAAATTTGTTACGTATTTACTGCCTTTAACCTACCGCTGCGTGCCCTCTGAGCTCGAACGCTATCGCGTCGCCGCGACCGCAGTTTTGTGCACAACGGCTGCGGCAAACGATAGTTCATTTTACAATCCAAGCGCTTGGCTGCGCACGCGCCTCCAAAACTAAGTCATTTTATGTCATCTACGATAGCATCTGCCGCAGGTTTGTCCGCGGAGTTTGCAGAAAGCAGCGTTTGTTTGATTGAGCGCACACTTTCGGCGTTCTCTCAGTTGCATCGTCGCCATACATGATCATGTCAAGAGCGACCGCGGTTTCGTCCTCGGCGGTTGTGGCAACGACAATCACACGCACTGTAGTGCGCCAGTCGCAGGCGTACATCTGAAGCTTCGAGTACGCTGCTCTCTGCCTTCGTTCAACGGTTTGCGTACTAAAGTTCGTATCACCCGCAGCGATTAGGAAATGTGTTCGGAACATTCAAATTGAGGCCCAATGAACATTTTGAATTGCCCAGCCAAATTTTACTAATTCGTATCTGCAGTGGTTTCGCATCATTGAGATTGTACTGTATGTTTACATGAACGCCTCTTAAATCCGTAATAAAATGGGGTAGGTTTGAAAAGCCTGGAGCGGATTGAGCTGCTTTTTTGTCAATGTGGCCAGATCACGCACAGAAATTTAGATTTCCGGGAGATTTTCAGGACAACCGTACACCGGAAAAAACTATAGAGATCCCGGAGCCTCCCAGCCATGATTGATGTGTGGGGTTTAACGTCTTAAAACCACCATGATTATGAGAGACGCCGTAGTGGAGGGAGTCTCCCAGCCAATCCGGGAGACTTGGCAGGTATGGTAATGTGAACGATGAAGCACCTCGCAGAATGCCCCCAACGCTGCTCTGCGCTAGGGTTTGCGAAAAGCGCCGTTGGGAGAACCAAGCCCCATAACGCCATTCAGACAGAGCTGAAGCTTCGAAAGATATGGATTTAGTCTGCACGCCCATGGCAGGTAACGTGGGTGCCTTCAAAGTGCGACTTTTCGTGCTCTAAACACTCCGAGGTTAATGACCGAGACACGCTACGAGACGTTAAAGCTCTGCATGTAAGCGAAACTGCAGCACCTAAAAAAGTCCTGTGCTGTACCCTCCATTTTCCTGTTACTCGCAGAACCGTGGTGAAGGCCAAGACTCCACAATTTCCTACATGATGCAACATGTGACGCCCGATGGCCCGGCATGTGGCACATTACAATCCAGCACACATGGGGTGAAAGAGCAATCAGCGGCAGGCTCCACCTACATACACAGCGCCTCGGCATGCACATACTGATGACTTCATATCCTCTCAATAAAGCACAAAACTTTGCACAGCCACATTTTAATCTATAAATGAATAAGGAATGAACCTATGCTTTCGTGAACGACAAGCCTGTTGCAGCACTAGCAACAAGGTCTGTCACTCTCCACACCTATAGGTGTAGGCCTAGCAGGGCAGGCACTGTAGTCTCACACCGTTCGCAATCGCATGCGAACTCTTTTGACAACACTATTAAGGGGGGGAAGAGGCACTTAGCTACCAGGCATCTTATTTAATTAAGCGAGGGTAGTGAAAACTTAGGAGATGGCGTATTGGCATAAGCAGATGTCAAATATGAACTCTGTTTCTATGAACTTCTTACCATATTGTTTTTAATTAGTCATAAATTAAAAACTTTTGATAAATTTTTCATTAATTTGGCTGTACAGATCCTGTTGAATAAAATTTCATTGCATTCTACAATTAGCAAAGAGTGCAAAAAGCAAGTTTTATGGCTCTAGCTTTCCTACAACAAAAGTTATGAAGCTTAGAAGTTCATCCTTTGATTATCAAGGAACGATAATTTTTGTATATTTTTCTAAACACATATGGTGTCCAATAATAGTTGCATATGTCACTTTTGTGCACTCACTAAGCATCCAGCTTCTCAGCAAGACAAAAATTATCAAATTCCAGTGTACCAAAGGTGAGAAGCGCTTGTTAGAAGAATGAAAGGTGGCCAAAAAACAGAAAATGGCAAAAAACAAAGCTCTGTATATTTAAGGAATTCTACACAAACAAAAATGCTTCTTTTTGCATATAAATGCCTCAGAAAGCACCAGGGCAGTAGTCTTGGTCACACTTTTGTCGTTGACGCCACTTTAAAGGCTTGCTGCAGGAACCTGGAAGATGCTGAACGCTTTCGCTCCGCACTCATGATCTGACGAGAATCCTCTTGTGCCGGTCGCTCGCTCATGGAGTTTTACTCTAGCTGAAGGTCTTGGAGGATACGTGTGGAGGCTTCTTTGATTCCTGAATTGAATCGCACCACGGCCTCAGCAACTACAGCCTCAACAGCTGTGAGTGAAGCATGCTTCTCTTTAGGCATTAGAGACCATATGACAAAATGGAGCGCCTCGTTTGCATTTTGCATCTAGCCTCTTTGGCAGTGTTTTAGCAGCTCCTTGTCATAAAGCCACTTGTACACTAGGAAGTAGCGCATCACGGACATATTGTGGGAATTGTAGGCTTGTCTTGGCAGCGGTTCTTGCCTAGCAGCAGCATTCTTACTTGCACCATGGGTCATTGCCACTTGGACACAAGGTGTGGTGAAACTTTCATCAGTCGATGTCACATATGTGGCCATGGCTGCCCAGTGCATTGCATCTGCGTCACGAACATTGGACTTCAGAGCCCAGCTATAGCATCTCTACAATTTCTCTGACATCGCCTGTCAAGTGGCCTCTACCACTCTGTTTCGCCAGAACCTTTATGCTTTTGAACATGGTTTACACAGTCCTTTTCAACCGGCATGAAACCATAAACTGTCCAGTCTTCAACAGCGCGAAAGGATCTACTGTCCCCATCACACAGCATCGCTGTGTACCGCAAGTCCGTTACTAAATTGAGCGCTCAAAGAGAGCAACTGCTGCCTCCACTATCATGTGCCCCGATTTGCACAGTATTTTTCTGGCAGATGTGTCGACTCTTAAACCAAATAACTTGGGTGCTCTTTTAATGGTGCGCACTTGCAGCCAGCACAAAAATTTGACAAGACAACATACCGTATTTCTCGCATAATCCCCGCACTTTTTTTTGCCAGAAAACCGATGAAAAGTTGGGAGTTGCGAGAATTACGGGAGGAAAACTTTCTACAGAAACATACGAAGCGAAAAAGAAAACGAAGTGGCCGCAAATCGGGATTCTCACACACACAACAGCAAGCTTTAAGAAGTACTAAATGAAACTAACCTCAACAATAAAAGCAGAGGTTCAACACAAGACAAGATTTAATCGAGACACAAAAGTGGAAGCAAATAGTCGAGAATTAGAATAC